GTTCTACCTACGTAAACCAAGATATTATGCAGCCCTAGTTCAGTGAAATCACAATTCACTAGTTTCTGGGCTTTTTTTCTGTGAATTGTGATTTCACTGAACTAGGGCTGCATAATATCTTGGTTTACCTAGGTAGTACCTGGCTAAAGAGACATACACATAAAACTTACGAAAAAGATATATAGAGAGAGGGGGGGAGGGAGAGAGAGGAAATGTTTGTAAGTTCATGACTCTTAATAAAGATTCCAAGTGCTACAATAAGCAGCTTCACTTAGTATAAGAACTGAAGATGGATAATTTCATGTTTAGCTTTCATGTGGATTTTCTCTTCTGCGTGTCCAGCTAGTATTTCTTATTTATCTTTGGCTGAGCTTGAAAAGCCAAGCAGGATTGAAACAGTTTTACATTCATTTTTCCATTGTTCCCTACTAGAATACCCCCAGCCCTTTTCACACCTCTAACCCAAGATAGCTGTTTATGTACAGTGAAGTCTGAGTATTTTCTTCTAAAAAAGTGTTTTTATATAGAATTCTGCAATTAAGAAACATGGCTCTTTGCACATTTGTTTCATGGTGAAATTAACTCATAAATTTATAGCTGATTCTCTGAAGCATTGGTCTTACCAAGAACATATTTGTTAGGACAGTAATCTGCTTTACTTTAGCTCATAAATCCTATTATTAAAGATTTGATAGAAAATAGTCACTTTGTCCATTATTACAAAACATAGGATTGTAGGTTTATTGTAAGTTCCAGCAATGTACACTGAATATTTTTAAATTCCCGAATCCAAGTATAACAAATGTGTGTGAAAATGAAAACAAGAGGAATATTGATATAAAATTGGCAGGATAAATTTCTAGATTGGGTAGAGCCCGTAATAATCTATCTAAGAGGACCAAATAAAAAATAAAGCAAAAAACAGTAATAATGACCAATTTTCCCTATAGAACAGTTGCTGCCCATCTTGTGGTTTGAGATGATTTTTAACTTGTTCATAATTGTCTTGTCTTGGAGGTAAGAGCTGAATTGGTTGTGTTTCAGATTATACCAAACTACTCCTGATAGTAAGATTTTAAAAAATGATTTTGAAGAGCTACATAAAGATCACTGTAAACTAGATGAATGGTCAACTAAGTGGCAAATGTGGCTTTGCTTAAATAAGTGTCAGGTGAATCTCTTGACTAGCCCAGAACAGGGGTCTGCAACCTTAAACATTCAAAGAGCCATTTGGACCTGTTTCCCACAGAAAAGAAAACACCGGGAGCCACAAAACCCTTCCCGTGCCTGACTGTTTCTTGATTGGCCACAAAACTAGCATATGTATTTGAATCAAATGTTCTGTTTTCTTCTGAAACTTTTCTTTTCTTGGATTTATCCATGGTTGGCCTACCAGGGGTTGAAAAACTCAATAAATCGTGTGCCAGCGGGGGTCACACATTGGTGGTTGTGATGCATATTTTGAGTGACAGGGAGCTGCAGCAGAGGGGTGAAAGAGCCACATGCATCTCCAGAGCCGCAAGTTGCTGACCCCTGGCCCAGAACATAGGCTCAAGATCCAGAAGGATCTTGACAGACTTGAACACTGGACCCTATCTAACAAAATGAAATTCAATACTGAGAAAAATAAGGTATTACACTTGGGCAAGAAAAACTAAATTTACAGATACAGAATAGGTGATATTTGGCTCAATAGCACTAACTGCAAGAGGGCTGTAGGAGTCCTAGTGGACAATCACTTAAATATGAGCCAGCACTGTCCTGCAACCACCAACAAAGCCAAGATATTCCTTGGCTAACAGAGACATAGAATCAAATCCCCATGAAATATTAGTACCACTTTATAATGCCTTGGTAACATCACACCTGGAATATTACATCCAATTTTGGTCACCACAATAAAAAAAGATGTTGGGACTCTAGAAGAGTACAGAGAAGAGCAACAAAGATGATTAGGGGACTGAAGGCTAAAACATATGAAAAATAGTTGCAGGAATTGGATATGTTTAACCTAGTGAAAAGAAGGACTAGGGGTAACATGATAACAGTGTTCCAATATCTCAGATACCTCTACAAAGAAGAGGGGGTCAATCTAGCCTCCAAAGCACCTGAAGGCAGGACAAGAAGCAATTGTTGGAAACTAATCAAGGAGAGAACCAATCTAGAACTAAGGAGAACTTTCCTGACAGAACAATTAGCCAGTGGAATAGCTTGCCTCCAGAAGTTGTGGGTGCTTGATCACTGGAGCTTTTTAAGAAGATATTGGATATCCATTTGTCTGAAATAGTATAGGGCCTCCTTCTTGAGCAGGAGTTGAACTAGAAGACCGCCAAAATCCCTTTCAACTCCGTTATTCTGATGCACATTGGGAAAACTTCACATATAATTCATACTAGGGATCATTAGGAAAAGGACAAAATGGGATGGAGAGAAACTATTAGTCTTTCAAGATTTTCATATAGGTCTTGTTGGCATCAACTTTCTAATCCAAAGAAAATAAAGTAGCATACAATTTAGTAACCATGGCACATGCAGATTGATTCCAGCGTATACCATCAATCTCTCCATTTAGAATTTGGAGAAAATTTGAAATTTAATTTAGTTCTATAGGGTTTTTTTATTTCCACTTCAGTATACCTTTGTACATACAGTACATACAATACACTGTGTGTGTGTGTGTGTGTGTGTAATGGTCCTGGACCAGAAGACAACAATCAACACAGGTGGAACAAAATAGAAAACTTCTTAAGTTCTCCCTTAATGCAATTAACCTTCGTAATCAATGTAACAAAATGTGGCTACATTCATAGGAATAGACTCTTCTTGGACCGATGATAATAATAATAGTACATGGAATAAATCAGCGCTGTCTGACTATTTATAAATTGGTGAGTGATAAAATAGGTCCCTGCACAGTATAGTAGGACATGGACACAACCTTTGTTCTCATGGAAATGGTTTGTTTCTGCCCTCAAGAACCATCATATTCCGTGTCTTGTAGCCATCTTTCCGGCCTGAGGAAAGTGGGCATGAACATTCAGGAAAACATTCCTGACTATTGATCCAGTTGGGCTTCTAATTCTCAGTTACAATGAGTGCTCAATCACACACATTGTTAAAGTGCCTTCCTAGGAAAACAATAATACTATAGTTTTTGCCAAATTGAGTTCTGAGTTCATATTGATTCATAATTGTCTTCAGGGAGAAAATAACACAGACCTTCTGAAACGGGTGTCAAACTGGCGGTCTTTGGGCTGGATGTGTCATGTGCAGGCCATGCCCACCCCAGCTCCAGGAATGGGGAAAATGCCAGAAAACGTCACATGATGGCAACGTGACATGGCAAGTTTGACACCCGTGTTCTGAAGAGAACAATATGCTATAAGACAAAGCCATGCACCAGTTTCAGTGTTAGTCAACCCTGTCTCTTTCCTAATACTACATTACATTACATTACATTAAAAAAACAAAACCAAAAAGCCATTTAAAATAGAACCATCCTATCTGGTGATAAGTGCACCAAGAATATTTTACAAATCATTGAGGGCATTTGCTCCTAGATCAATGGTGCACCAAGTTTCTTCAATCCCTGTGTCAATCAACCTGATTATAAAGTTTCCATTTATGCTAATTCTTTCCAATATTCTGGATCAGTATTCCTCAACTTTGTGAATTTTAAGATTTATGGACTTCAACTCTGGGAAATACTGATATTTTACTTACCACTTTATTGTTGCTGGGAGTTCATTTTTTCACAGGATTGGGCCCTTTTCAGTGGGGTAAAAGTACCATAAAGTCCCAGCTGAGTATCAAACAATTACATAGCATGTTTGCTCAATAAAACTTTAATGCAACTGGGATGTGTTAAGGGGAAGGACAATATACTGTAGCACCCACTATTTTGCACATATTTTGAATGACATCATTTAATGAGTGGAACTATGAAAGACCATGCCCAAATATTTCAACCCTTTTATTTGTTTTACAATCTGGCCATTCAACTAGCAACTGTACATTCCAAGTCAGTTTTCCTGAAGTTCTAAGTTGGATCCTAGTATTTTGAAGGGGAGGCATTATTACAGGGCCTCCTGGACACTATACACCAGGCAGAAAGACAGAGAGTAGTGTTTTATTTAACCTTCAGTTTATTGTGTCTCATATTCTGACTTTGATCAGTTGCTGGATCTGGAGAATGAGATGCAACCTAATTGGTATCAGGGCTTTTTATAATTTCACCCAGCACATGACAGGAGGCTACTACCAAAGCCATGAGTTTGCTCCAACTATCGAACTTTTCTTTTGTGGATTTGCATAGTTTGTGAGCATTTTAATTTAAGCATGGGTGCTGCAGCTAGTTTCTCTTTAGTATTAATTATGTCCCTGGCATAATTTGCCAACATCTATCATAGAACAATTTGTACAAGAAATACTACGAACTCAAAATAATTGAGCTCTATTCAAAGCAAACAATATTATAATAAAGTTAAAATAATCAATGGTATATGTTGCGGTAAATAATTATATGTTTTCTCTCAAGTGCCTTTTCTTTTTACATATATAGTTGCAATATTTATATAAAAAGGACTGGGGCTTGCAACAATATTTTACAAGGTATTTGCCCATCTTTCCATTAGGAATGCTTCTGTTCATAGATCCAGGCAACCATTTTATTTAAGCAGAACCTTCCCTTCCCACCTATTACAAGTTTTCTCTTTCAGTTTTCCAATTGACATACCTTGAATATTGAGCAGCTTCACTGAGTTTATTTTGAAGTTTGGGATGGAGGGAAGATTGTGTAATTGGAAGGGAACCTCTGTACATTCCATAAATAAATATGCTTATAATTCCCATTTATTTTCCTATGAATTTTGAGATTTTTCCTCCCAAACCAAAGTCCACACTTGAGCTTGTTAGTAAAAAGGATTTAAAAAAAACAAAATATGATTTAATTTGTATTTTGTACTGTTCTCTCTCTCTCCTCTCTCTGAATATGGGTTCAGCAGCAGCCCTGCTAACCAGCAGTCCAGTTGTAGAATTTTGGGTGTCTCTAACAAGGGTTCAAGCAGCAGTTCAAGTGAATCGGAGAGCAGTTCTGAATCTGATTCAGAGACTGAAAGCAGTTCCACAGAAAGCGACTGCAACAAGCAATCACATTGTTCCAGCCCAGAGGTAATAAGTTAAAATTTAATTTCTAAACCAGTGGAACTTTTATACCAATAATATGTCTGGGACCAGAGAGCTTTAATATGGTATTGTATTGAAATACTTTGTTTTTTAATATGAAAAAACTGTTAGACGCAGTACAGGATGACATTTTATGCAAGAAATATATATATATTGAAATTAGTCTTTCCAGTCCCCCATAAAGCTTTTTTTTAAAAAAGCAAAAAGCTATTGTGCAAAGTTTGGTGTAAATGAGAACTTTTTGTGTTCATTAAAACATTGATAGATTTCTGACATTGACACCCAATTAAGCTAGGTGAGAAGGCATGCACACACACACACACACGTGTCTGTGCCAAATTGCAGGCAGCAGAAGTAGCCTGCAGTACTGCACTCTAACCACCGTGCCACCATGGTGTGTGCATGCACCATAGTTGTGGGGGGGGGCATGCCATGGTGACACAGTGGTTAGAGTGCAGTACTGCAGGCTACTTCTGTTGACTGCCAGCTGACTGCTATTTGGCACATGTGTGTGCGCGCGCATGCACCTTCTCACCTAGCTTAGTTGGGTATTGTTAGAGAAAATTTATTTCTCTATAGTTGTGCCTATTAATGGCTTTTGGAATGGACAGATACATAAACCAATCAGAGGGCAGCTAATATGTTTGAATCTCCAGGGTTCTACCCTAACTGTCATAGTTAGCAGTATAAAAGGAGATTCTTGTCAGAAACTTTCTGCTCTTCGATCTTCACTCGTCTTAGCTATTTAGTCTTAGGTCTTAGGTCTTAACTCTTCTAGGATATTCCGTTAGACAACTGTGAGCAGTTTGGAAGTCTGTTAGAAGAGCAGTTCTGGTGGTTTGTAATAATATTTCTTCTGAGGAAGAATAGTCATAGATAACATAGCTTAGAGAGGATAGATATAGATATATAGCTGACAGGATAATTAATCATAGAAACTAAGTGCTGTTTATTAATTGTATAATTAATAAGGCTCAAGGTTGACTCAGCCTTTCATCCTTCCGAGGTGGGTAAAATGAGACCCAGATTGTTGGGGGCAATATGATGACTCTGTAAACTGCTTAGAGAGGGCTTTAAAGCACTGTAAAGCAATATATAAGTCTAAGTGCTGTTGCTAAGTGCTATGTATGTATGTATGTACAGTATGTATGTATGTATGTATGTATTGTGTTGCTGATGATCATTCAACATGCAGTTAACTTTCAGCTAGCCACATAATAATGCTTACCTGCTCAAAGTGCCTGACAGATTCACATACATTTACATATATACACAGAGAGAGAGAGAGAGAGAGTATATATACACAGAGAGAGACACACACACAGAGAGTTTGTGTGTGTGTGTGTATGTGTGTGTGTGTTTATATAAATGTATGTGAATTTGTCAGGCACAAATTCTTTAACTGATAGTAATCAAATTTTCAAAATGGCAAATTTAATATGCTAGCCATATACTGAAACTACAGTTCTTAACAGTATAAGGAGCTCCCTAAAACTTTTACGAGTAAAGTTTTATAATATATTGAGATCCTGTTTGTGGTAGTGGTAAAGGCATGAAGGGAGACTGTGAGTTCTAGTCCTGCCTTAGAGACAAAGCCAGCTGGGTGACAATGGGTTCTAGAAAGAAGGCAATGACAAAGCACTTCTGCCAAGAAAACTACAGAGACTTGTACAGACAGTCATCAGGAGTAAACACTGATTTGAAGGCATCAAAGAAAAGTATAACATGTTGTGTATTCAACTTTATTTTCTAGCCTGAACAGCCGTCTCCTAACAAGTGGCAATTGGATAAATGGTTAAATAAGGTTAATCCTCATAAAGCTTCTGCTTTGAACCAAAATGGATTGGAGGTCTTTCAGTATTACAGCAAACTAAAAGAAGAAAGGCAAGACAATGAAAATGTACCTCCTGTTGGACAAGCCGGTCTCCAGGAAAAAGATATTAAGAATCTTAGTAAAGAGGAACTGAGATCTAGGACAGCTAACTTAGCCCCAGGACATAGGGGAGGAAAGCAAAAACCACTTCCTTCTGCTGCCTCAAAATCAGTATCTAAAAAACAGCCAAGGAGGACAGAGAGTAGCCTGGCTGATGATAACTTAAACAACCATGCAGCTGACAATCTTGATTTGAACCAAATTCATTTGGCAAATAATAACATTTGTAATCAGCCCAAGACTAGGCCTTGCAGCAGCAACATTGAACAACAAAAAGAACCACAGTCTGTTACTGCCGTGGAAAAGAGACGCACAAGAGGCTCAGGGAAAACAGCGCCCAAGTCCAAGGAATTTATTGAGACGGAATCTTCATCTTCAACTTCATCCGACACAGAGTCCCAGTCTGAACAAGAGGAATGTCCTTCACACAAACTGCAGACCGTAGCCTCAGTATCAGCTGGAAGTGACCAGAAACAAAAGAATTCAAGCAATAATAATGGTTACAAAAAACCCAATAATTGTGGTGCCTTTGGTTCCATCAACACCAGAACTAGCAACGATATAGCAAAAGAGCTGGAAGAACAGTTCTACACGCTGGTTCCTTTTGGCAGGAATGAACTTTTGTCTCCTCTAAAAGATACTGATGATGTCAAAGCCCTTTGGGTCAAAATTGATTTGACTCTGCTTTCTAGAATCCCGCAGCAATTACCTGAGGAGCCACTGATCATGAACACAGGAGTTAAAGAAGCCATTCAAATGCAATATAACATTGCTGCTGACCTGCCAGCAGAAAAAGTGGTTCCGAAATCCAGAAGAAAACGAAAGGTAGGCTTTATATGTTGGTCTTGAAAAGGAAATTTATAATAACATCTAATGGATATACATGGGTATCTTGAGATATTTCAGGGCAGAGATACAAATTTTTTCTTGCATTATCTTAATTCATGGAGGTTTGGAGGGGTTCAAAATCTGCAACATGGAAGTGCAGCATCACAACTGAAGCCCTGCCTTTTTTGTTATGTATGTGCAAATGACACAGTGCATATACAAGGCTTTGATTGTGACACCATGCTTGCCTTCTTGAGTTTTTGGCACCTCTGCAGATGCCACAACTTCAACTGAATCCAGAGTTAAAGAGAATGGAGCCGAGACCAGGTATGGTTTGAAATTTGGGTTATATCTACATAATCTTAAATATCCATTTTTCAGTCCTGGTAGCTATCTGTATTGGTTAAGGTTTACATTTCCTAAAAGCCAAAAGATCAACTATACAGTAGAAGCTTGAACATCTTATAAAAAGATGTGATGCTTGAGATAAAATATTTATTTTTCTGCTTAAAATATGGCTGTTGTCCTATTCCTTTGAGGTAGAGTTTTTGTCTCATAAATGGTTTTTAAGGGCTGACAATATAGCATGCAACCAGTTTGAGAAACATAAGTCATTTCTTCATTGTAATCACTGGGAACATGATTATATTTTTATTTACCCTAGCATTACTGGTTTTTGAACATGTATTTTTATTTATGTAATAAATTTCTATACCTTGTTCTATGATATCACATTTCAGAATGGCTTACCATAAAAATATTAAACTACAAGAATATACCAATAAATTAAAATAAGATAAAAACACATTTATTAAAAGTGAGAGAAGTAAAGGAAATAAAATAAATTATTCATCTATAACATTCAAAGGAAGTTTGAGAGTAAATGAGACTGTTAAATTACAAACTGTTATTGTAATCCACTAGTAGAAAATTTACCACAGCATCTTATCTATCCCAAATCATCCCAAAAGTTATAAACAAATCATCCTGGGTCAAAGAACCAAGTCCTTTTGTGTGTCTTCATCCACATTCAGATTTTAACATTTTTTAAAGAATCATTAAAGATTGATCAAGCTTTCAAGAGAGGAATCCAGCTAGGAGCTGCACATCTCCCCACCCTCTTTTCTTAGGTTTCAGAGACTGTTCAGCGATCTTAATCTGTGAAATTTAGCCAGGGAACAAAGAACAAGAAAAGTATGTATGTCTCTGTATTTTAATCCAAGATTATAAGAAAAGTTCAATGGAAATAAACTCCCAAGTGTTTTACAAATTCAAAAAATATAGAATCCAGTGATGAGAGTCTGAGAACTCCTCACCACCATCCCTCGAACATTACCGTACTCTCCATATGGAAGAGACAGAGGTTATCCAGAATGACATATAACAAGAAAAGATAAAAAGCAATTAAGAGTCCAGCAACAAGTTGAAATAAATCAGCACCCAGTCATTAATCAACTTTTAAAACAATAAGCAAAATAAAACAATAAAGTCAAAAAATGAAAGTTAAAATTCTGGCATCCTTAGAAAATGAAACAGCTTGACAGGAAAATGGATACGCCCAGTGACTTTTCGATTGCTTCCATAGGGAATTGGAATTTTCAAGACCCCCCTTACCCACTGGATCCACAATCAATCCAAAAGTTATTTTGGGTCACTCTTAAGTAATCCTATTCAAAACCAGAGAGCAGCACTGCCAAATACCTAGCTTTAGCAGTGAAATCAGCAGATCGTTGGTAAGAGAAAAAAGAAACTCTTACCAAGCAGTAGCCATCATGAAAGGGGAGCACAATATTGATTGTATAAAATGAAAGTATTTATTGATTCTAGTGAACAAGAAATATTGATAGTAAATGAATGTTACATTTCAGATTGGCATAAGTCGAGCCTACAGCATTATAAAACACCAACATAGGAGAACTGCTATAAAAATATAAAAGTGATAGAGTGTTGTAAATAAGAGTACCAGCGTGCCTACCATCCCTGTCCTAATGTACCATCCCTGTCCTAATGTTTCCTCTATTCATATCTATTTTATGTATTCAATTCATGCTTATACTTATATATATTACCTAATACGTTCTTGACAAATAAAATAAAATAAAAATAAAAAATATCCTAGGAGCTAAGGCTTGCAGCAACAGTGACTCATCTAAAGTTTGTGAAATTGACCCAGTACTTTAAGAGAAAATATCTTAGTGAAGTGGGGGTCCCAGTTTTGCTCTGCTGATTAAATTTCATTCAGGCAAATAAAAATTTCATCTGCATGATTAGTAGCTTGAAAATAAAAATGTTGATGACTGTAGGCATAGCCAGACAAACATAGTAAAGTGCTTTCCTGTGCTCCACGAAAAGTAGCAGATTTTGACAGATGGTTAAGCCCCTAAATCTAGCCATCTGTCACAAGTCACTTCTTCTCCAAGCCCCTTCTGCTCCCTATGTTCAGGAGAGCAATTGGTGATAATTTTTCCTGCCAGCAGGTGACACTTGCTAGCGGGAGAAATGAAGCCAAAGAAATCCATCCATCACTATCCTTAACTTGTCCTATGTTAAAACTGTAAGGACAGCATCATTTCTCAGCCTTGATACTAAAGCAGAAGAGAGCTTGGCAACAGTTTTTATGTTGGCATCCTTTGCTGCTGGCTTAAGGACCAGTGCATGGCCGTCTGGCTGTGTCATTTGATAGCAGCTGTTGCTCCTGTGCTTTCTGCACCCAGCTGCAGACAACAGCAGCTAATGGTAGGGCATATTAATATGAATAATGACACCAGCTATTTCTTTGTTCCCAGGAGGAAAAAGTGAGGTGATACACTGGGATATGTAGGCAAGTCTCTCCTTGCTGGAAGTGGGGCCAGGGATAGAATTGCAATAATATGTTTATAAGCTTGTGTACATGAAACCTCACTAAGACCACAAAGTTTGAATGGACCTTATATAGAATCTTAATGGACTAAAAAAAAAAAAACATTTCACAATCCACTTCCACTAAGGCATCACTTCTCTGGAATAGATCTTGCAATACATGCTACATTTGCATTACATTGTAGTATAAATTTTTGGCATGATGCAAAGATCAGAAATGGCTTGTTAAACGAAGAGGGAACCTACAAGCTCCTTTTCTTTGTAGCTGTCTTCATTATCTGGATTGGGACCAGTATCTTGAAAGATCCATAACAATGTACTGTTTGCCTGTAGGGCAGAGGGGTTATCAAAATGTCAAGAGGGCAGTCACAACTTTGCAATTGAAATTCTACTGCTTTTTTATGTGCAATGAATGTTAATAAGAGATAGGACTGCCATCTTGACTCTTTTTAATTATCCTCTACAGAGGCACCTGCTACCTTCAACTATTAGTTAGTTTAGTTAGTTTATTGAATTTATATACCGCCCTACTCCCGAAGGACTCAGGGCGGTGAACAGCCAAAAGATAAAATACATGTAATACAAATGTTAAAAAACCATTAAAATACGATTAAATAATTTGGCCCAGAAAACAGAATTTAAAAACCCAAATTTTTTTTTTACAACAAATTTAAAAATTTAAAAAACAGTTTAAAAAAGAGGTTAGGCCAGGCCGGCCTGCTGGAATAGGAATGTTTTGAGGGCACGGCGGAAAGTGCGCAGATCAATGATCCTCCGTATCTCTGGGGGGAGTTCATTCCAGATGGCAGATGCTCCCACAGAGAAGGCTCTCCCCCTGGGGGCCACCAGTCGACACTGTTTGACCGACGGCAGCCTAAGAAGCCCCTCTCTGTGGGATCGTACTGGTCGGTGAGAGGCTACTGGTGGCAGAAGGCAGTCTCATAGATACCCCGGTCCTAGGCCATGGAGCGCTCTAAAGGTGGTAACCAAAACCTTGAAGCGCACCCGGAAGACCACCGGGAGCCAGTGCAGCTCGACAGGAGGGGGGTCAGATGGGAGTGCCACATCGCTCCCCTAACCACCCATGCGGCCGCATTCTGGACCAGCTGCAGCCTCCGGGTGCTCCTCAAGGGGAGGCCCATGTAGAGAGCATTGCAGTAGTCCAGGCGGGAAGTGACGACGGCATGAGTGACCGTATTTAATGAATCCTGATCCAGAAAGCGATGCAACTGGCGAATCAGGCGAACCTGATAAAATGCCCTCCTGGCCACAGCCGTCAGATGCCCTTTTAAAGACAGCTGTGAGTCCAGGAGGACACCCAATTTGTGAGCCCTCTCCGTGGGGGCCAACGACTCACCCCCAATAGTCAGTGATGGCACCAGCTGACTATATCGGGATGTCGGAAACCACAGCCACTTGGTCTTGGATGGGTTGAGCCTGAGTCTGTTTCTCCCCATCCAGATCCGTACAGCCTCCAGGCACTGGGACATCACTTCAAGGGCATCATTGGGGTGGTCCGGGGTGGAGATGTACAGCTGGGTGTCATCAGCGTACTGGTGGTACTTCACCCCGAAACCACGGATGATCTCACCCAGTGGCTTCACATAAATGTTGAACAGAAGGGGCGAGAGGACCGACCCTTGTGGCACCCCACATACAAGGGGCCTCAGGGTCGACCTCTGCCCCCCCACCAACACAGACTGCGACTGGTCGGAGAGAAAGGAGGAGAACCACTGCAACACGGTGACCCCCACCCCTAACTCTTCCAGCCGGTGCAGCATGGTACCATGGTCGATGGTATCGAAAGCCGCTGAGAGATCTAATAGGACCAGGACAGAGGAACAACCCCTGTCCTGAGCCTTCCAGAGATCATCAACCAATGCGACCAATGCCGTTTCCGTGCTGTACCCAAGCCTGAAGCCAGACTGGAACGGATCCAGATAAGCTGATTCATCCAGGTACTGAGGGAGCTGTCGTGCCACCACACTCTCAACAACCTTCACAACAAAGCAAAGGTTGGAGACTGGATGGTAATTAGCCAACACTGCCGGGTCCAGGGAAGGCTTCTTGAGGAGAGGTCTCACCACCGCCTCTTTCAAGGCAGCGGGAAAGACACCCTCACTCAAAGAACCATGTATAATCCCCTGGAGCCAGCCTCGTGTAACCTCCTGAGAGGCCAGCACCAACCAGGAGGGACACAGCTCCAATAAATGTGGTAGCATTCAGTCTACTCAGTATCCTGTCCATGTCTTCGGGAGTCACAGAATCAAACTCTTCCCAGATAATATTCTCAAGACCTGCCTCCATCTTCCCCCCTGGATCTACCCCGTCGGAGTCCAGGTGTTCCCGAATCTGAGCGATTTTATCATACAGATACTGTACAAAATCCTCGGCTCTGCCCTCCAAGGGGTCCTCCCACGCTTCCTGAAGGAGCAGGGAGCGGGTCACCCTAAACAGGGCGGCAGGGCAATTATCTGATGATGCAATAAGAGCGGAAAAATAGTTACATTTTGCCGCTTTTATCGCCACTAGGTAAGTCTTAATATGAGACCTTACCAGTGTTCGGTCAGATTCAGACCGGCTGGCCCTCCAACCGCTCTCCAGGCGTCTTTTTGGAGCTTCATCTCCCTCAGCTCCTCGGTAAACCAAGGAGCAAAGCGAGATCAGTGCCAAGTCAGAGGCCGCAAAGGCACGACCCGATCCAAAGCTCCAGCGGCTGCCCTATCCCAGGCGGCCACCAGGTCTTCGGTCGAGCTGTGAGCCAGAGCCTCAGGAAACAGCCCAAGCTTCATCTGGAACCGATCTGGGTCCATCAGGCGCCTGGGGCGGAACAACCTCATCAGTTCTGCCTCCCTGCGGCGGGGTGTAGTGGTTCGAAGGTCAAAGCAAAGGAGGGAATGATCTGACCACGACAAGGGTTCAGTCACTATATCCCCAATATCGAGATCATTCAACCACTGTCCAGAGACAAAAACCAAGTGCAGAGTGTTTCCCCCCGTGTGAGTAGGACCATGCACTAACTGAGTCAGGTCCATATCAATCATGGAAGCCATGAACTCCCGCGCTGTCTCAGAGACTTCACCAATGGATGGCAGGTTAAAATCCCCCATGACCATAAGCCTCGGGGTATCAACCGCCACCCCGGCTATAACGTTGAGCAGTTCGGACAGGGCCGCTACCACGTGACAGGGAGCCAGGTACGTGATCAGCAAGCCCACCTGTACCCCATGACCCCACTTCACCAGGAGGAACTCACATCCGGCAATCTGAGGGACAGTGGCCTCCATCGGACCAAGACCTTCTCTTATAACAACCGCCACCCCCCGCCCCTACCCTGTGACCTCGGTTGAGCTAAAACTAAAACTATTGAGCTAAAAGATTTGGTATACATCAGAAAATTATCAATAACTTAACAGACGGTAACACAATTAACATAAAATAATAGTTAATTTCAGTGTTAACCACCAAACTTGTAAAATACAAGTTCTACAATGATTCTATAATTTTGTACCAAAATACCATGCATATGAAGTGTTTTTTCTGTTAGTATGAAAATGAGGAAGAAAGCAGAGAGACTAAGAAGATTCACACTGAGCAAGAATGTTCCTCCAATTTACTTCCTTCAGCCCAAGTTATTTCTTCACCAAATCATTACAAAATCATTAAAAAAAGGTATGTATTATCTAATATTTGATGTAAAATCGTTACTTAATATCAAAAGAATAAAAAGCTGTCAGAATAATTTCGTGGTCAACTGCTGCTAACTTAGTTATAATAATTCAGTTTGATGATTGTACTTATTTTTCATCACTTGCTATCCATGGTTTTGTTCCAACTAAACAGTGTCAACAATGAGATAACGGGTATCGAGGCCTAAGAAAACATTTTTATGTATTTTATCTATTTGCTCATCTGCCAGTTAGTATATGTGTAAAGTACCCCAAAATATGCCTGGAATCATTGATTACGTGAGACATTGTGCTAGAAATACCACAATCTGGTCAACATTTTCAAACTGAATAACTGTGCATAATGATATTGATGTAATTGAGTAATAATTGTGTTAAATTGGTTAATTAAAATTGCCACTTTGACATGAATTTTGGGATGGAACAGAATATAGTCAGAACTTGATGCGGGGAAATAAATTTAATAAATAAAAATATTAAAAATGTTATAATCTTATGAAATGTCTTATATTTCCAAGATAATCTCATTTCTCATTATCTTTGATTTGTTAAAATGAAACTATAATGTATGACAGTTCACCATGACCAATTTGCCATGACCAACTCGCTACAGTCAATTCATTATGGCCAACTCGCAAAGGCCAACTGGCTGCAGGACAATTTGTTGCAGGACAACTTGTTGCAGGACAAATGTTGCACTAATATCAAAGGAGCCTTGGTAGTACAGTGGTCTAAAGCACCCTGTTATTAAGACCAGCTGCCTGCAATTACTGCAAGTTCGAATCTCGCCAGGCTCAAGGTTGACTCAGCCTTCCATCCTTTCTAAGATAGGTAAATTGAGGACCCAGTTGTGGGGGCAATAAGCTGACTTTGTATAAATATACAAAAGGATGAAGGCTATTACTTAGCATATTGTAAGCTGCCCTGAGTCTCCGGAGAAGGGCGGCATATAAATCAAATTTAAAAAAAAGAAAAGAAAAGAAATGGTGGAATAAAATCATTAAAGAAAGGGTGCAAAAGGAGGAACAGAATGAAATGTGAATGCAAAAATTAAAACAGTTTTTTAATTTATTTTAAATAATTAAATAGAATTTTTAAATTGTCCTGCAGTGAGTTGACCCATGGCGATTTGGCTGCTGTGAGTTGGCTGTGGTGAGTTGGCTATAGCGAGTTGACCACAGTGAGTTGGCTATGACGAGTTGTTCCATTCCCAATGTACTGGTATCTTTTAACTAGAATAGCGGCTTTTTGCTCTTAATGAAGTAAATTTTCACCAATGAAGGTGGCAAAAAGAAACCACCCTTTTGAAGTATTTTTAAGGACTTCCTATATTTCAAAATGACACTTTCTGAAGTAGGTTGATAGTTACCTTTTGATTTCCTCAGGAGCTATGGTCCTGCTAACATTCCATCCTATCAGTTTATTTGTTTATTTAAATGACTTATATGGGCCACCCATCTTATATGCCATAATTCTGGGCAGCTCAGAAAACAACAATAGAAACATAAAAACCATAAAACTGTAACAAAAACTCCCCAAATGTAAACACTCCGCCATACATCCACATTTGATTCCACTGTACCCCAACCTCACCCTACTCCAATACTTGATCCAGCTCTTTAAGACCTTCTCAAAGGCTAGAAGCAAGGACGCCTGCCAAATCACAAAGGGAACATCGTTCCATGAGGGAGCAACTGCTATAGAGAATCTTTTTGGGTGCTATTAAATGATAACATTTAAGGAAAGGGCCAAAAATACACCTACCTTATCTGACTGGGTAGAATAGTGGATTCTTTCAGTTCACTAAGTATTAAGTTAATTCCTAATTTTAATTAGATTGGAGTTCTATGCAACAGTTCATTCTAAAACCTTAGAAGAATCAGAATAAACTAAATTCGGTGCATGAAGAATGTCTTATCTTTATGAATTAAAAGTATTAATAGATGATACGTAAGAGGAGCTGGTGTCTGCTAGAGGGTCCAGATTGGAGTGATGAACTGATTTGATTTAAATGCATTTTACTGTTAATTTAGGCTAAGATTTTAATGATGGTGTTGGTTTACCAGAATCCATTGCAGAGTGTCTGATTTCACTCTCTTTCCTTATATATCTTTCCCCATGGACTACAGTCCAAACAGAGACCAACAAAGGCCCACTCCTATTGATAATGACACCACATGACAGTGTCTAGGAGCCTCTGTGTGTATTACATCTTAAACAGTGTGTATAAATTAAGGGAGGTCACAAAATAACATCGGCATGAGATAAAGTAATTATGTTTAGTATTACATGTGAAATCATAGCCATCAGGGAATAGCTAGCTCAGCTGTGTTTCTGCATAGCCTCAGTCCTAATTGCACTAGCTAACTCAATTGATGGACTAGCAAGAGATCCCAGTTAAAAAATGTAATTTGAGTGCTTAGAAATAAAATGGAATAGTGGCAGAAATATTTTCTTGTGAAAGATAATGTATGTTTAGTGGATATTATAATGATGAAGTTTGCTCTCTGAAAAAATTGTCTAAAACAATTTGAAAAAATCATTAAAAAGCCATATCCAACATTTAAAATAAATAAAATAAAATAAAATAAAATAAAATAAAATTCAAGGTGTTGGTTATCACCTTTAAAGCGCTCCATGGCATAGGGCCTAGCTATCTTCGAGACCGCCTGCTGCCACCGACGACCTCCCATCGACCCGTGCGCTCCCACAGAGACGGCCTCCTTGGGGTGCCATCAGCCAAACAGTGCAGGCTGGTGACCCCCAGGGGGAGGGCCTTCTCTGTGGGGGCACCTACCCTCTGGAATCAATTGCCTCCAGAGATAAGGAGAATCCAAGACCTCGGTGCCTTCCGCCGTGCCCTTAAAACCTTCCTTTTCCAGCAAGCCGGGCTGGCCTAATTTTTTTAAGTGTTTTTAAGTGTTTTGTTTATTGTTTTTAATCAATGGGGCCAAATTTATATATGTATATTTTAACTATATTTTAATATTTGTATTTGATGTTTTTACTTGGCTGTTCACCGCCCTGAGTCCTCAGGGAGAAGGGCGGTATACAAATTCAAAATAAAATAAAAAAATAAAAAATAAAAATAAAAGCAAACTATTTAGCCACTATCTTAGACTAGCATTTGCTTTTTACATAAACCATAATGTTTCTTGGTGTTTGTCATTACTTTACACATACCCATCTTGCTATTCCCTTTCAGTCTAAACAGCATTAAGCAAAGCACAGAAAATAAGTTTAAGAAGTAGCAAAGAAATAAATGACACAAATCTAAAGAAAAGACAACTAAATTTAGTTTACACCAATCTTCTTCCCTAGACTTCTCTATACTTTTGTATCCTTATAAGTCCCACGCTTCTTTCCATTTTATCCATATACTATTTTATACATTGAATTTTGCTCTTTAAATGTAATAATAATATTGTCTTTAAGATACCATCTGTGCAAGAGCCAGAGCATCAGTTCCTCTGGACTATGTATGAAAGGAGTCTATAATGCTTGATGTCTGCAGAAATAGGCCCTCTAAGGGGGAGAAAAAAAGATACAAGCAGATAATTTGTAACAGGATTGTATTGAGAAGATTATTTGGGCTCAAGGGCTGCAGATTGCCCAGAGATACTTGTAATACTTAGATCTGGACTAGAAAGTCTACATTTAGCAAAGAGATACACCAAGATCTCTGGTTCTATGTCGTGGACATCCAGTTTTTTGCAAATCGGACCTGTATTAGAAGATTGGTTTATTTTCTCTGTTGTCTTCGTTAACTAGGTTATTATACATTTCTATCTCCTTAGGTTCTGTATTAATAACAATAGCTCTTAGACTTATATACTGCTTCATGGGGCTTTTCAGCCCTCTCTAAGTGGTTTACAGTGTCAGCATATTGTCCCCAACAATCTGTGTCCTCATTTTACCGACCTCAGAAGGATAGAAACCTGAGTTAACTTTGAGCTAGTAAGAATCAAACTGCTGACAGTCAGCGGAATTAGCCTGCAATACTGCATTCTAACCACTGTGCCACCACAACTCCTCAAGTTGTTAAGTTATTTAAGTGCTACGTTTACCAAATGCAGAGAAATTCCAGCTCCCTGTAAACACATATTCTCTGTTTAGTCCATGTGATTTTATAAAAAGTCACTTGTAACTATAAAACAGTGCTCCACAGCTTACATTTATTTTTAAAAGTCACATCTTATTTTCCAACCAACCTTTAAAGCATTTTTACATAAGTATTTTTAGTATACGTTAACCATAAATTTGAAGCTTGCTCTAAAAGAAAAGAGAGAAATGTGGTCAAATTTGTCCAACAATTCTTGATAGTCATGTTAAAACCTGTTTCCAGAAAAGAAGAATAATTAACCAAGTTCAGCATAAAGTTACGGGAAAGCTGATAATGATCATAGTATTAAAATATGTGTTCCTCATTCTGAATGTTTTGACTGTCCATTATTGTAATTTCCATTTGTAGTTTGGCAACACCAATAAATAAAAATGAGAAAATGCTTCAGTCACCTAGTTCTCCCTTCTCTGATGCATCAAAGTATAAATTCTGTAATGATGATTTAACTTCTAGCAAAACAAATGGTAGCAACCCTTCGTCTTCCACATCCTCAAGTAGAAAGCACAAGAATGAGATTAGATCATACCTACATCCTGGCGATTTCAGTGTAAGTTCTGATCACAACGTATTTAAAGTACTTAAATATCCATTTTGTTTATTTATAACCCTCTCCATTTAGATCAGGGGTGGTCCACAGGTCATTCCTGATTTAGATGGTTTGGAAAAAGTCTTTCTTAGGGTCCCACCCTCTTTAGAATTTGAGTATTGGGTGAGAAACCCTTTGATTCTACTGACATCCCAATTTTGTATGCTGGCATTATTGTATACTATTTGGGAAATGGAGAAGAGTGCATTGAAAATTAATTTTGTGAAAATTTGCCGGAGACAAGTTAAATATTAAATATGAAAATAATTAAATATGATTAAATATGATTAAATATGGAAAAATACACAGTATATTGAACCTGTCCTATTTTGAATAATGGTAGGGCTGACCTTGTCACTTGGTCACAAGGGTTGTTCATGGATACATGTCCATTAACCCTTCCTAAACTGGTACCCTCAAACTGCTAGAACTCAGCTCCCTTCATCTACAGTGAAACTTAGAAAATAGAAGAATGGTAGTCCAACCAATGTGGAAAACATACAAACGGGTATGTTTACATTGAAATCTCATTTTGTAAAGCTGTATATATTTCACTATGATTAATCTTATTCTTCTCTGAGTTCAATAAATCTTAAACTTCTTTATAGTCTTGCATAGAATTGTATCCTAAAATTCATAAGATTATGCTCAGGTTGTCATCTTATGCATGTATTATTTAGAAGAGAGTTTTATGGAATTCAGATATCCTTTTTTGATAGATGTATGTAGCATAGGATTCCACTGAAAGAATTCTCTGAGCGAGAAACAGATATATACAGGAGAGATCTCTGCAAATAGATTTGGTTATTTATTTTCTCAACATACAGTTGGAAGATTTATAAATAAAAAAAATATCTATACTGAAATGGTTGTTGTTTTTGTTCTGAACTGTAATTGTTTGCATCCATAAAAAATACTGCACAGGGCAGTAGTCCCTAAATGTAATAATACTTCTAAACTTGTTTAGAATTATTGTTGATGGCTGAATTCATGATTAGTTCCTGATTCTTAATTTTACTGTTTACTCAGAAAGCCATGTATATCAGTTCAGAAAACACTCTGTTCTGCAACAGGACACAGTGCCAAAAAGAACCATGGTCATCTATACTGACTGTGCCCAAAACCTGTAGGAAATCAAAACTCATAGTTAATGATGGGTGAGTAAGTTGTTTCTTCTGTCCTTCCTCCCTCCCTCCGCCTCTCCTCTCCTCTCCTCTCCTCTCCTCTCCTCTCCTCTCCTCTCCTCTCCTTTCTTCTTTCTCTGCTTCCAGCCTAAAATAAAATGCTCAAGACAGTGCATTATAAAAGTGGATATATGTGGACTTCAAATGTACTTACAGAATTTTCTTCCATGCTTCTTAGAAATGCCTGACTAGGTAGCTCGGTGGCTAAGACACTGAGCTTGTCAATCAGAAAGTGGTGGTTCGAATCCCTAGTACAGGTCTCCTGCATGAGCAGGGGCTTGGACTAGATGACCTCCAAGTTCTCCATAAGAGGGAAACGTCTGTCACTCTGGGGTTCGACGTTCCATGCTTCGTGTGACCGAGTCCTATAAATTTACATAGCTCCGCCCTCCTGGCCCAGTGTTTCGACTCGGTCTATGCTGACCGGTCGTGTCTCCCTGGTAGTCCTTCATTCGTCTCCTGCTTCAACGCTTGTTATTGTGTGTTCTGGAATTTTTCTTTCTATTATTTTGTTTTTATTTTATTTTATTTTGTCAGTGCTGCCTTTCGCCGCCTCGCGCTCCCCTCAGCCTTCGGGTTGAGCGCGGCGGCGCTTTTGGCGCCAGCCCTCGCCTCACGCCTCACCATCCGGTAAGCCTCTCTGAGCTTTAAAATTGGCGGTTTTTCTACAGCAAGGGGAGCTTATTAGATCGCTACTCGACCTTCTGGTCTGCGATCGGGATTTCCTTTTACATTTCGGCATTTTCGCGCTCCCCTAATTGCCGCGGTAACAGCCCTTTGGCTGGCGGCATGATTTTAAAGGTAATTGGCGGCCCGGAGTGCTCTTTTAGCGGCGATCGCAGTAATAGCCTGGAGCTAGCGATCTTTCTTGCCGCTTTTGATCGCTTATCCACTGATTTGGGCTTACTTATTGTTTCTTACAGCGGCGGCAAGAGCTGTTTGTGACGGCGGCCATTTTGATCTGCTGGTGTCTACGGCCTTTTTAACCGATTTCCAAAATGGCGGCTAGAAGTCAATCTGCTTCCCAACATTCAGGCAGAGGGTCTAAGAGACCTGCTCTCGATGACCCCCTAGAGGGGCCTTCCCCTAAGCAGCCCAAGTCTCATCATCGGGGCAGGTCTGCCAAATCGGCTACTTCTAGGGATGAACAACGCCGCCACAAGGCCATTGAAAAGGCCTTTACCAAGGCCCAGTCTCATGGCACTCAGACCAAGGCTCCAGTTGTTTCCTCAAGGGCTAGTTCTCCAGCACCATCATTGGCATCTAGTGCCGTCCGAGAGCTTTCGCCAGATGGATCTATTACGGCAGCCCTGCCTCATTTACCTGGCTCGGAACCTCTGTTTCAAACTAGGCCTACTGCGGAGGCTCCTGAGGAAACTGTCCTTAACAATCCAACCCCGTTGGCCCCTCAGGTGGTACCTGCTCCACCTATTCCAGAGGCCTTTGAGCTTATGCTGGCCAGGTTCATTAAACAAGGACTGGCTCAATGCCTTCAGCAAGGCAATCCCGATCCTGAACCCTGTCTTTTGCAGCGTCATCAACCGGATCCAACCGGGGATTCTGTGTCTGAACTAGACCGGGCTGATTCCATTGCTTCCCAGGATCAAGCTTCTCTATTAGAGTTAGATGAGGTTCCGGATTCCGCCTTATCCGATGACGAGGGGCCTGTTGCTGACCAGACCCCCTTCATTGGTCTTTTCAAGCCACAACTCTTTCGTTCGTTGTTACGTAAGGCAATTGTGACCACTCGTCTCGGAAATGTTCCTGCTGCTCCTACAGATCCCGTGGCCCCTGATCCGGCTTCCGCTGTCTTTGCGGAACCTTCAGTCGACCCAGAGACTATTCCGGCACCCAAGCTCTTCTTGGATGTACTTCTTCGCCAGTGGAATTTACCAGGTGCTGGGCCGAGCCCTAATTCCCTTGATAAACGGCTGTACAATTCTGCCCCCGCTCTGGCGGATTTGTTACAGCCCCCTCCGGTGGACGCCCCAATAGTGGCTCTGTGCAACTCATCCCATCCCGCTGGTCCTCCGGAAGATGCCCTACATCCGGAAGATCGCAGGGCAGAGAAGACTCTGATCAAGGGGCACCAGGCGGCTGCCTGGGCCATCAAGGCTTCAACATCTGCCTCATTTTTCAACAGAGCCGCGCTGTTATGGATTAAGCAGCTTCAGGAACGCATACAACCTTCCGACTCACGATCGCGCCAGGATTTGAGTAAAATCGCGGCAGCCCTAGAATATTCAGCGGACGCCACTCTAAATGCTTCTAGATTTGCGGCAAAAGCCCTTAGTTCCAACGTGACTTCGCGTCGCCTCCTATGGCTACGCAACTGGAATGCCGATATGCGGAGCAAGTGGCAACTAGCTTCCGCTTCCTATTCTGCAGGTTTTTTGTTCGGGCCTCCATTAGAGCCTCTTCTGGTGGAAACGAGAGACCGACGTAAGATTCTTCCTTCGGCTTCCAGATGCTCTGATTCTCGTTTCTCTGCTCTACCTCGGAACCAGCCCTTTCGTGCTTCCTACTCGGGTACTTACCAACAAAGATTCCAGCGTCCATTCCCTGCGAGAGGCTTCTCACAGGAAAATCAGGTCAGACAGGGAAACCGTTTTTTTCCTAGACGTTCCTCCCGGGGAGGCAGGGGTCGTTTCCAACGTAGATCCCGCTAATTCTGCCCCTATTGGGGGGCGTTTGTCACTTTTTCTCCATCAATGGGAGGTTTCTACCTCTGATGCCTGGGTCCTGTCTACTATTAGGTCTGGTCTTTACCTAGAATTCCTATCTCCTCCTCCTTCTGTTTTTCTTCCCTGCCCCGTGTCCCACAATGTCGCTAAGAGGGCCTTGGTGTCCTCCGCTATTTCACATCTTTTAGACATTAGAGCAATCCAGGAGGTTCCCCGGGATCAGAGGGGCCATGGTTTTTATTCCCGTTTGTTTCTTGTTAAGAAGTCCTCGGGGGGATGGCGTCCCATCTTAGATTTAAAGGCCTTGAACCGGTATGTCTCGTACCGCCGGTTCAAGATGCATTCCTTGTCTACCATCTTGGAATGTATTCGCCCAGGGGATTGGCTATCCTCTATAGATTTAACCGAGGCATACCTTCACATTCGTATTGCACCTTCCCACCGTCAGTATCTCCGTTTTAGTTTTTTGGGGCGTCATTACCAGTATAGGGCTCTCCCCTTTGGCCTCTCTTCTGCCCCGAGGGTCTTTACTAAGATTATGGCCGCCCTTATTGGGCATATTCGGACCCTTTCTATACGTCTGCAATTTTATTTAGATGACATTTTGGTTCTGTCCTCCTCTTCCCCCTCAGCCCAACAGGACTTGTCTTCTGTTCTGACCATTTTTCAGGCTCATGGCTTCTCGATTAACTGGGACAAGAGCCAGCTTATCCCTGGTCCCCGTATTATCCACTTGGGGGCTTCTATCGACACGGTTTCGTCTATAATATCTCTCTCCCCAGAGCGCCAGATCAGTCTTTCTTCTCTAGCGTCTCAGTGTTTGAGGGAGGGCTCTTGTTCCGCGCTAAAGCTTTCCCGATTATTGGGCAAAATGGTTTCCACCTTTGGAATAGTTCCCTGGTCTCAATTACACAGCAGACAGCTCCAGTGGTTTCTGCTCCCCCTCCAACGGGCCGGTCGCAGTTCCTCCCTCGTCCTCCTCCGATTGTCCCCGCAAGTTTCCGCGTCCCTTCGGTGGTGGACTTCAGATGCCATCGCTCGAGGCAGCTGTTTTCGAGAACCTCACCGCCTGTCGCTGGTGACGGACGCCAGCCTTCTGGGTTGGGGGGCCCATCTTCTTCATCATCAGGCCCAAGGCCTTTGGACAGCTCGAGAACGTCAGAACAGCATAAATCTCTTGGAACTGCGAGCCGTCCGTCTGGCTCTCCTTCATTTTCAACATCTCGTGGAGGGCCAAGATCTCCTGGTCCTCACGGACAATATATCCACAAAGGCTCACATCAACAGGCAGGGGGGCACTCATTCCCGATTGCTCCTGACGGAGTCTCTACGTCTGGGCTTCTGGGCCGAACAGCACCTTCGGTCCCTCAGAGCAGACTATATTTCAGGAGCCTTGAACACTCAGGCGGATGCCCTCAGTCGACACGTCCTGGATCCGGGGGAATGGAGCATTCCACAGGCCCTATTTCGGAAGATCATCGCCAAGTTTGGGACGCCTGTTGTCGATTTGTTCGCCTCCTCATCGAACCACCGGGTACCTCGGTTCCTTTCCCGCTATCCGGATCCTCAGGCGGAGGCCACGAACGCCCTCCGCAGCCACTGGCCTCCCGGGCTCCTCTATGCATTCCCCCCTCTTCCTCTTCTGGCAAAGGTGATTCGAAAGCTCCTAGAGGAGAGGGCAGAACTGATTCTCATTGCCCCGCATTGGCCTCGTCAACCGTGGTATGCGGATCTCCGCTCCCTTGTCGGTAGCAGCTCCTTGGCGCATCCCCCCAGCTTCTCTCTCTCTCTCCCAGGGGGCAATCCAGCATCCGGACCCGTCAAGCCTCCAATTGACCGTTTGGAGGCTGAGCGGCGCTTGCTGACCAACGCCAGCGTCCCTCCACGTGTCATCTCCATTATGCAGGCTGCCCGCCGCGGTTCCACAACGCGCATTTATGAGGCTACGTGGTCCGCTTTTTCTTCCTGGTGCCGGAGGAACGCGGTAGACCCGTTAACTGCCTCTGTCACTGCAGTTCTTTCCTTTCTGCTCGAAGGGTTTGATGCGGGTTTAGCTCCCTCTACCCTGCGCCGGCAGGTAGCGGCTCTGTCTACGGTTCTATCGTGTGGCTCTAAGGATTCTCTAGCCCGTCATCCGCTCATCAGGACTTTCATGCGTGGAGCTACTAATTTGAGGCCTCCAGTAGTTCACAGGTTCCCTACCTGGAATTTGAACTCCGTCCTCCGGGCTCTTATGGCTTCTCCCTTTGAGCCCCTCCGGGAGGTCTCTTTACGTTTTTTGTCGTTCAAAGTTTTATTCTTGGTGGCGATCACCTCGGCTCGTCGTATTTCCGAGTTGGGAGCCCTCTCCATTCGCCAGGACCTTTGTATTTTCCACAAGGACAGAGTGGTTCTCCGCCTTGACCCCGCCTTTCTTCCCAAAGTGAACTCCCTTTTTCATCGATCTCAAGAACTGGTCCTCCCTAACTTCTGTCCCCGTCCCTCTCACCATCTCGAACGTTCCTGGCACACTTTGGATGTACGACGAGCCCTCCGCATTTATATTTCGCAGACACGTTCCTTCCGGAAGACGGAAGCCCTGTTTGTTTCCTTTCAGTTGGACTCCATTGGCACCAGAGTCTCTGGGCCTACTCTGGGCCGCTGGCTTCGGGCCACCATCGCTACGGCCTACCAACGCCTCCATCTGCCTGTTCCTCCTCACATTACGGCTCATTCCACCCGGAGCGCAGCAACTTCCGCGGCCTGGGCTACCCGCGCTCCATTGGAAGAGGTCTGTCGTGCGGCCACTTGGACATCCCTTACGCCATTCATCAGACATTACCGGGTGGATTCCTTTGCCTCATCGGACGCTGCCTTTGGCCGTCGGGTCCTACAGGCGGTTCATCGCCCGTGACCCCAGCAGTTCCGGTTCTTCTTTCTCACGCCCTGGAGGACATTCAGCTCTGGTATGTCCCCAGAGTGACAGACGTTTCCCTCTTACGGAGAATGGACGTTGGTCTTACCTGATACATCCGTTCTCGTTGTAGGGAAACGTCTGTCACGCCCTCCCTGATGGGTTTATGGGGTGGGAGGTGTACTAATTCTTTCTCGTTCTAGGGAGACACATCAGTTTACGCGACGCCCTCGCCGAAACACTGGGCCAGGAGGGCGGAGCTATGTAAATTTATAGGACTCGGTCACACGAAGCATGGAACGTCGAACCCCAGAGTGACAGACGTTTCCCTACAACGAGAACGGACGTATCAGGTAAGACCAACGTCCAGTCCCTTCCAACTCTGTTACTGTTAATGCTTTGTGTGTGAGAGTCTGTACCTACATGCCTGCGTCTGTATCTGTGTGTGTGTATGTGTGTGTGTGTACATTATTTACAGATTTAACATTGTTTTTAATGGCATCAGTTCTAGAATCACTACAATCATTGCAAGGAATTATTATAAAAACAGTATTGGAGATTTTTTTTAAATGTCACTTAAACATTTTTTGCAGTTGATACTAAATAGTTTTTAGATTATGTTAAGTAAGACTATTGGGAGTTAGACAAGAAATCTGGTAAATTAGATTTTTCAGATTAAAACAATAGTAGTGAAATGATACCCCTGTAATTCATTTGATAGACATAATGTTTTTATATTTTATAATAGAGTTTCTATCATTAAGCAATGTCATATTTTATGGTATCAGTGATTTTGCTGATAAAACTTCCAAAGATTAATCAGGTCAGACAATTTACAAACTGCATCTTTGTCTCTATAAGAAATCTTTGCTACAATTAAATTATTGAGATTAGGCTCTTAGCTCTCTTGGTTTCCTATGGGATATTTTGTTTCATTCTATTTTTTGCTCCCACACTGTTAGAAGTCTATAAAGATGGTCTATAGAGAATTTTGTTGCCTCTCCCCTTAGTAATTTTTTATAACTATAATTTTACAACGAGGTAAATATCTTGAACAATGTATCTTTTTAAAATATGAATGCTAAGATTTTGTGAACTGCTTTCGCTCAAGGACAACAAATTTAGCTACCTTTGTTCATTCAAGATGGTTTCAAAGCACATCATTCATCAGATACTAAATTATTAGCAGATCCTTGATACACAAATATATTAGATTCAGCAGAGGTTGTCTTGGACATCACGAAAATCTATGGCATTGTACAGATAATCTTTTTAAAATATATTTTGGGTAAACTTAATTATTTCTTTAAATTTAGTTGATTGGTATTCTAACCCACCAGCAGAGCTTATCTCCAACTGAATTATTTTTTTTTATCCTTTAGGATGTTATGTGGAGCTTATTAAAGATGTCTACTTTCTCCTTTTACTTAAGTTGATGTTATAATCACTGCTCTGCTTTAGTAAGTAATGTAAGAATTTTCCACGTAGCAGAGTGGCTGGAGCAGAACAGACTTATATGTTGATTATATTTATGCCTTATTGATCATTTATGTTATATTTCATTCATAAAATTTGTTAACTACCTTTATTCTGAATAACTGTGGGTTGTAATGATTGCCAACATTCTTTATCAAAACAATGCAATTGCTTTGCTCACTGTCCTAATGTCCTGGACCAGTGCTCAAGAAAAAAAAAGAGGTTTCCAGAGCAGCTAGCAGAATTGGGGCCATCTGGGGCCATCGGTGGATTTACTATTCCATAAGGCAGGTGCAATGACAAAGAAGCATGCTTTCTGGCTCCTATTAGATAACATGAAGGAACTTGAGGCATAACTCTAAACAAGGAAGCCTTCAGATAACCCAACCCTATTCTATGAAGACATGCATTGTGTAGATGGCAATCAATATGTTGAATGCAGAATGCTTACTGGAAACCCGGGGCAATTCATCCAGTAAAGTTACAATAGTTACACCAAGATGCAACCATAACTACCATGCTGCTGCATTGTGCACCACTTCCATTTCTTGGTATGCGTAGCCCTGTATAGAGTATGTTGTAATAATCCAGGCAAACATTTTCAGATATTTAACTTCTTAAATTGCAGTGTAGCAATGCTCTCAATTAGGCTCTTCACTTTTAGAAACTTTAGAGAACATTTCTCATTTAAATTCTAAAAAATCGTTTATGAAAAAGAGACAATATTTTGCATCTTAATCAGTGGTGGGTTTCAAAATTTTTTACTACCGGTTCTGTGGGTGTGGCTTGGTGGGCGTGACATGACTTGGTGGGCGTGGCTTGGCGGGCTTGGCAGGGGAAGATTATTGTAAAATCTCCATTCCCACCCCACTCTAGGGGAAGGATACTGTAAAATCACCATTCCCTCCCAATCCAGGGGAAGGTTACTGCAAAATCCCCATTTCCTCCCAATCTGCTGGGACTTGGGAGGCAGAGATTAGATGGGAGCGGGGCCAGTCAGAATTTTTACTATCAGTTCTCCGAACTACTCAAAATTTCCGCTACCAGTTCTCCAGAACTGGTCAGAACCTGATGAAACCCACCTCTAATCTTAATTATATGTTGTCTATGGTGTTTCTGCATAGTTTGATACCTTATTTTTGCCTAATTTTTCTCATGTTATTTGGAATCCATGAAATATTGAGCACATATTTGTTTTGGAGATACTATTTAGTAAAATGTTTTGCTATACCATACAAGGAAAATATATCAAACTCAATTTTTTCTTATATTTCCTTTCATTCCAGACTGCACAATTTAGATTATTTTATGCAGGAAGCTAAAAGAAAAAAGCATAAAGCAGATGCAATGGTAAGAATGCTTGAATTTCTGATTCATTATTTCAATTTATCTATACAATAAAACTTTCTTAGGAAAACTTTACTAATACTAATTTTAACTCCTTCTAACATGAGCATTTCTCTTATTAGCACAGATTTAAATATAATCAGATATGTAAACAATTACCCAAGATCAATTATCAGATACATATGGAGTACATTAAAATTTGAGCTAGGTCAATTCTTTTTTAAAAAGTATTATATGGGTGTAACACTACATTGGTTTAGCAGACCCCGTTATCAAATACATAAAGGATCATTTGTAAATTAAAATGCTACAGGCCAGGCCTGGGCTAAGATTTTCAGAAAACAGTTTGATCCAACATTGATTTTTTTGAACAAAAGGAAGATAGAACACTATTTGTAGACTGTCAATTTGTTCTATAAACCAAAGTTCCCCAACCTTTCCAGCTTCACATCCTGGCAGGGGAGGGTGGAGAGGGGATGGTTCCACACAAACAGTGAGCAAGCACACATGCACAGGTCCATTTGCAAGAATGATGGGCACATGTGCCCACTGCTCACGCAAATTGGGTATGCAGGCATGCACTTACCTGCTGCTCATGCCACTTCTGTGGCCCGGTTCTGAATGGCTCAAGGCCCACTAGTGGGCTATGGCCTGGGGGTTGGGGATCTTGCCCTAAGCAATTGTGTATTTGGCCTCCTCCCCTTGAAAGGTTGCAAAAATATTTTGCTTTTCGGAAAGCTTGCAAGAGGAAGGGGAAATTGCAATAATCATCCATCATTCATGAAAACCTCTGCTAAACTCCCTAGCCATTTGTGAATGCAACCACAGCATTAGATATCACCACTGGATATATCTGCAAGCTTCTCCTGGTATCAGTGGGCCTTGATTTAATAATGCTATATATGTCTTCTATACAATGTACGTGAGAGAATTTCTTCCAGCTCTAGGAAGGAAACAATGGCAAACCACTTTTGAAAAATACCATGCCAAGAAAACTGCAGGAATTTGTCCACACGGTTGCTAGGAGTCAAAACACTGACTCTCTCTCTCGCTCTCTCTCTCTCGCTCTCTCTCACACACACACATACAAAGAATAAAATGATTACTGATTAAATTAGAGGTGTTTAGGCTTCAAAGATTTACTCTGAACTCTGTGCCCAAACCATATATAATACAAGGTCATATTTTTATAGTCCTGTTTCTCTTTGCATTTATTTCTTGTGACCACTCCTATCTATATTTCCCTGTTTCATTTGTAAATACTACAGATGAGCTTGGCTGCACTGGTGTAGACTTCATATTTTAGCATATCAAGGCCTGAATTTGTTTTCCTTTTTTCATGATGTGTCTTACTGAGCTAAAGATAAAGATGCCCTCAAATGAAGCACATCTCCTGCAAACATCCATGCAGTTTTCTTGGCAGCATTACAGAACTGATGCTTTCATCCAGGGCATTTGACATTCCAGCCTATCCAAGAGCTCTGGAATTTCCAAATGATCTCACAGCCAAGTACTTATCACAGCTGACTGCTTAGCCACCAAAGTTAGTTAGGGGCTGCCACCTCCTGGATCTTGATATGTTACAGAACTCGTAATTCACCAGATATTCCTATCTTCTCTGCTGAGAAATTTACCAACTACAGATCCAGAATCTTAAATTATAATTGAAGGTTAGCATAAAATATTATCCTGTTCTGAAACTGAAATAGTAGTTTCTTGCTTCAAATTAAATTAGATTAAGTAGATAATTGAGGGCAAAAATCTTATACAAATCTTAAAATAATCCAAACTAAACCAAATATCCTTTTTTTTGCTAATATAAATATTTTACCTCTTGTATAGAAGACACTACGGTAGTAAGAACTCATTACTACTCTAGAATAGATATAAATACATTATTTTGTCATGTTTTTCCTGCTGGTTTTGTCTTGAAGGTGGAAAAATTTGGCAAGGCACTGAATTATGCTGAAGCTGCATTATCATTTATTGAGTGTGGAAATGCCATGGAGCAAGGACCCCTGGAATCAAAGTCCCCATACACAATGTATGCAGAAACTGTGGAGCTTATCAGGTGCGTCTCTGACAATATTCCAACATTGACTGGCACTCATGCTCATGCAGTATACAGGTTGTCCTCTACTTATGACCAGTTTCTTAACAACCATCCAAAGTTATGACAGACACCCTAAAGCTACTTAGAACCCATTTTTGAAGTTTAAATGGCTGCACCCCCCTCCCACAGTGGTATTTTAGGCATTGGGCAACCAGATCACCTTTCCAGTCATCTGCAACATTCTGTAATTTGTACAAATTTCAGCAAATGAATTCATTCATGGTGAATTCATTTATCCCCCAAAATACAACCAATTAAAGACTTCCTCTATTTCTTCTTAACAATTTTTCTGCAATGTGATGAGGAAATTCGTCTTCATTGAAAATAATGAGAAACCTTGTAGCTTACCTGTTTATTACTGTACAATGTTTATTCAACATTGATCTACTTTTACATTTTTCTGGGAAGGAAGACTAGTGATCTTAAAAAGACAGTGTAGACAGAATTAAGGGAGGTGAACTCACCTCCATCCTTCTGCTCCAGTATGGCCACAATACAGTAAAAGTAAAATAATTCAGAGATATTATTGGATACTGTCTGTATTGACAGAAGGAAAAATAACCTTCTGTACTGTATTCTTTGGGCAAAAATACTTTGGGAACATATTTTCATAATTATATATGAAATAAAGCAAAATTTTACTTTTATTTACTGGGCCTTATATGGCATATTATTACTCAGTATGCTGATCCAATCCAACAGGACTCTGAGCAGAATAATACTAATAATAATCATCTTGAGAAACATTGAAGGAAAATGTGATAACAACTTGACATGGGCATGGCTTAAGATGGGAACCATCAAGAAAGAAACAGCAAGTTTAATGCTTGCTGCTCAAGAACAAGCACTACAAACTAATGCCATGAAAGCGAAGATACAAAAATCCACTAACAATCCAAACTGCCAACTTTGCAATGACACAGTTGAAACAGTTTCACATTTAATATGTGAGTGCAGCAAAATCGCACAAACTGATTACAAAGCTAGACATGACCGAGTTGCTAAATTAATCCACTGGTCATTATGTAAAAAATACGACTACCTGTATCCAAAAAGTCATGGGAACATAAAGTGGAAAAAGTTGTCGAAAATGAGAAGGTGAAGATCTTGTGGGACTTTCAAATACAGACAGATCGTCATTTAGAACACAACACACCAGATATCACGGTTGTCGAAAACCGAAGCGTACAATTTATTGATATTGCTGTACCAGGAGATGCCAGAGTCGAAGAAAAAGAACTGGGAAAAATCACAAAATATTGCGACCTGACCATCGAAACTATGCGATTATGGATGAAACGTAACAGTGATACCAATTGTCATCAGGGCTCTTGGTACCATATCCAAGAATTTTACAAAACACATCAAGAAATTGCAGCTTCCTGCAATAACACCAACAGAAATGCAAAAAACTGTGCTACTCGGAACATCATATATTTTAAGAAGATACTTGGTTGATACCTAGGACGCTGGCAGCAACCCATATCAACCATTAGCACCAGCCAATGGTATTTCTGACACATTTTTAAATGATCAGTTGACTGAGTTTCATGTTTAATGAATAAAAGAGATAATAATAATAAGGAAACTGAAGGAATCAAGATGCCCTATGTTAGCAATATCAAGAGCCTGGATGAATGTGATCACTATAAATACCTGGAAGTCAAGAAAAAGGATAAAAATGAATACATCAAGTGAGTGAAAAAGATCTTAAAGTTCAGACTCAGTTGAAGAAATACTATCAAGGCAATTAATACCTGGGCAGTTCCAGTCATTAGATGCAACGCTGGAATAGTGGACTGGACTCAAACAGAACTAAAGGCCCTAGATAAGAAGACCAGAAAAATAAAGACAATGTATCATCCCTTCATCCATGCAGTGATGTTGACAGACTCTACTTGCCAAAGAAAATAGGTGGTTACTGAATGTTGTAAGTACATCAGACAGATGAAGAAGAAAAAAGGATATTGGAAGAATATCTGAAGGATAATGAAAAAGATGCAGTGAAGCTAGTATACCAGGAAGTCCTACTGAGTACTCGAGAGACCAAATTGGTCTACAATAAAGAGCAAATGAAGAACAGAAAAGCAGCACGGGAATACAAAGCAATTCATGGCCAGTGCATTAAAAAGCACCAGTGAAAGCAAATAACAAGACCTGGCAATGGTTGAGAGCAGAAAAGTTGAAGAAACAGACAGAATGGCTAATTCTGACTGCACAAGACCAAACTTTAAGAACAAATGCATACAAAGCCAAAATCGAGAAGACCACAACAGATAGCAAAGAAGCCTATGCAAAGAAACAGTGGACCCTCTGGTTAGCTACTGCAAGAAGATCCCACACACTGATTACAAACAATGGCAGGACAAAATAGCAACAACGATGCGTTGAAAGATCTGCAAGAAATACCGTTTGCCTGCGAGCAAAAGTACTGGTGGGACCATAAAATAGAGAAAGTAATAGAAAGTGAAGAAGTGCTCTAGAATTTTAGAATTCAAACAGACAGGCATCTATCCCATAACACTCCAGACTTAACATTTGTCAATAAGAAAGACAAAAAAGTCTGGCTAGTGGACATGGCAGTACCTGGAGACAGCAGAACAGAAGAAAAAGAACTGTAGAAGATAATAAAATACAAAGACCTGCAAATAGAAGTAGAGTGACTAGGGTAAAAGAAAACAAAGGTAGTGCCAATAATTGTAGGTTCCTTGAGTGCAATTCCAAAACAATTGGAGAACCTCTTGAACACTTTTGGCATTGACAAAATCAGCATCAGTCAATTGCAAAAGGCAGATTTGCTCGGAACAGCTCACATCCTATGACAATACCTTTACCAACAAGGGTCCACATCTTCCATCTATCTTCAGTCCTTGGGAAGGACTCGATAGGTGGACAAAAATGCCAAATCCAGCCTGAATATCTGGCTGACCATATTATTGAAGAAAAAAATCAAAGGTGCCAAGAACAAAGCATCCAGTTTTAAGGGTGGAGGTTTCTAATTTATACTGGATCCCTCTTAAGGTTGATTTGATTGTTATTTAATTACTGATTGTGAAGATGAAATGGTTTTAGGCCTCAGGTCTATATTCTGCTGATAGTTTTGAACTTGTTTAATAAATTTTGTTATGTTTTAAATTTTAAAGCGCTGTTCTTCACCTTGAGTCACTGCTGTGAAATAGCCTGTGGCCATGTAAATAGTTTAAATAAATAAATCAATAGAAATTGATAGAAAATCTAACAAAATATGAAAACAAAAACAAAAATCTGCAAAAATTGATCTTTACAAGTGTTGTCCATTTGTGTTTATGTGTTTAAAAATATAAAAGGAGAAGCCACAAAAATTTTCACCAGAAAAATATTTCACATTTGGACTACAGTCGCAGGTATACATATTTATAGTATGTTTGCAAAGCAAGAAGGGATATAAATGAGATGGAACACTGTAGTAAAAAAGGTTAAATAGGGAAGGGAAACTTGAACCTCATACAGTATGAGCTTTAAAAATCTTTGAAGTTAGTGAAAGAATAAATTTAGTGAAGAGTCATGCAAAATACTATAAATGATGGTAATTATAAAGCATTTTAATTAATCAGAGATAAGTCAGTTTGAGAATTGGAGCTGACTGAAAGAAATGATCAAATGTGATGACATTAGTGGGAAAAAAGCAGGAAGTTAAGAATTTCATAGTCAAGGAAAAGAAGAATAAACAGTGCCAGAGGTTATTCATTTAAGCTTCATGAGGGAAAAGACTTTACTATGCTTTGTTAAAACTGGCAGGCAGGCAGACCCAGCAGTATTTTTGAAGAGTTCCCTGTGAAAGAACAAGAGGGGGAGATGATAATGAAATTGATTAGCTGTGACAAGTAAAGGTTGCAATTCTACATACCCTTAGGTAAACTTAAATCCCACTGAGCTATAAAAATTTTCATTTTTTTTTGTTTGTTTGCTTTCCTGACTTGGTTCTCCATCTTTTGTAGATATGCTGTGAGACTAAAAACCCACTCAGGTCCCAGTATGACATCAGAAGAAAAACAACTAACAGCATTATGGTGAGTAAATTAAAATGTATTCCAAAAAATTCAATTATTCAATCCTCAAAATGGAATGTTATAATAATTAAGCAAGTAATACCAGATTTCTCACTGCCTTTTGTCTGGTATTGTTATATAAGATCACAACCATCACCTTTGCATTTACTCCAGAAACAGATTGCTATTTAATGCAGATAATTGTAATATTAACATCGATCTAGCATTTTTATAGCATATTTAAGACACCTATGGTTTTTAGCAATCCGTCTGGCTGGTATTAATATATTGGCTGTTATGTTTTAGACTAGCTGAGTGTTTTTATATACAGTCCCATATCTAACACAGAAGTTTTATCTCAGTGCAAAATTGAGGTTGCTTTTTATAATTAGGAGTAAAGTTGATTTGTCATCCTTAACAAGTCAGTAGTCTTCCTTTAAAAAAAAAATTACAGGCTACAATAGCCTCTTTTATTGGCACAGAAGGGTCTTTCAGTTTATTATATATGTGACATACAAATCAAAAGAAGGAGGTGCCGCATCATGTATTGACAGAGAACACAACTTTCAATAAGGAAAAAAAAAATCAAAAGTGTAAGGCCAGTGGACAAGATTGATCAACAGAAAAAGACCACCTTTAAATATAGTTAGTTCTCAACTTATGACCAAAATTGAGTCCAAAATTTCTGTTACTAAGCAAGACACTTGTTTTTTTTAAAATAAATTTTTATTAGAGTATAAATATTAAAAAAAACATAACATAACATACACATAACAAACATTTATAGCAAGACACTTGTTAAGTGAGTTTTGCCCCATTTTATGACTTTTCTTGCCTCAGTTGTTAAGTGAATCATTGCAGTTGTTAAGTTAGTGACATGGTTGTTAAGTGAATCTGGCTTCCCCATTGACTTTGCTTGTCAGTAGGTTGCAAAAGGTGATCCCATGACCCTGAGACAGGCAAGTATCATAAATATGAGTCAGTTACCAAGCATTTAAAATTTGATTACATGGCCATGGGGGTGCTGTAATGGTCGTAAGTGTGAAAAACGGTTATAAGTCACTGTTGCTGTTGTAATTTTGAATGATCTGTAAACAAACTGTTGTATGTCAGGGACAGCCTGTACCTCAAAGAAGAAACAAGCCATAAGACTTCAGGAGAGGGAAAAAAGGAATCAATAGAACAAAGATCCTAGGGATAGAAGGAATGCAGCTGGGCCCTACAAGAAGAATAAGAATGATGAATGGTTTGGTCTAGTGGTTAAGACACCAGGTAGAAGCCAGGAAACTGAGTCTTAGGCATGAAAGTTGGCTGGATGACTTTGGGCCAGTCACTTTCTCTTAGCCCAACTCATCTCACAGGATGGTTGTTGTGGGAGAAATAGGAGAAGGAACGAGTATTGTGTGTGTTCCTCACTTGAATTGTTTATAAAAATAATAAAGGTGGGATATAAAAATTAAAGTAAATAAATAAAAATAAGAGAAGATATTTGAAGGCTCACTCTACGGAATGAAATCTTTTCTATTCATTGAAGCAGACTAAAAAAACCCACCACATTCTGCAAATATGGCGGCTGACTACGCAAAAGATATCAGATATTTTATTTCGGGATCTAAATTACCTGGCTAAAGAATTATTCGATCAAGGGAGCTTTAATTTTAATTTAGTGGAGATGAAAATCTGTATGTAAAAGTCTAAGACAAAAATTTGTGCACTGCAGAAATGGAAATATTTTAATGAAATCACTCTGTGAAAAATCATAAAGAATATTGGCTCATAAAATTGTATTTTATTTATTTTACTACCACATTGCTGGGTAGCTTATAACAATAAAACACATCATAAAAGCATCATAAACTTAAAATAATAGAAAATATTTTAGCAAGACACATATAACCACACAAAAAAACACAACTAAAAAGGCCATGTTTGTCATCCCTCTCAGTGTGTCTTCCAAAGACCAAACAAAAGATTATCTTCACTTGAGTAAGATTAAGAAGGATTCCATTCTGACTCTAGAGGAAGAGAATTCTACAAAGCCAGGACACCAATGGAAAAGCCTGGCTCTGCACTTCTGTTCCCCAGACTAGGAGAGAGAATCCGAAGCTTACCTTCCCAGACTCATAGAATGGGAAAAGTCTATTTAGAGAAGGTAGTCCCTTAAAAATCAAAGATTCAGCCATAAAGATATATATATATATGTGATAACAAGCTCTTTGAATTGTCCTGGAAAACTACTGGTGGCTTGGGCAGCTCTTATAGAATCAAATAACTACAGTATGTTACATTGGGACCAACCCATTAACAGATGAGATGCTGAAGTATAGACCAACTGCAGCTTTTAGTAGTATTCAGAGGCAGTCCCAATAGACAACAATATAGTAACCCAACTGTAATGTGTAATTAAGATGATGAGGGCATGGATAATTGTCTCTGGAACATTCTCTTCCAGAAATAGCTGCATCTGATACACCACCCTAGCAGTCAAGGAGAATTCTCAGAATTGGAGCAGCTTCTTAAGGGATTCCAGATAGAATCTGTGCATCCATAGTGTGCAAGCGGAAAGTGTCTGTTGAAAGTCCTTCCTACTAAGATGTCCAGTAGAAGGACATGGAAGCAGGAATTATCTGTAGAAATCCCCCTCCTTTGAAACAATTTGCCTCCAGGAACAAAACAGTATCTTCCATTACAATTTTTCAGAAGTTTGTTAAAAACTGGTTGTTCTGGAACCAGAGGAATATGATAGAAGATTAATATCTGAGTAATTTGTGGCATCATCTCATGCATTAGTTTATCTATTATATTGTATTATTTTAACTATATTATTTTAACATAGTCTGTATTTTATCATCATCTCTATACCACTTAGAATCTATCATTAGTTAAGTAGTGTAGAAGTTCCATAAACAAGTAACTATAGCCACATGCGCTCAGAAAATCTAAGTGAATAAACATGGCAATACTATAGGAAGCTCCAGGATTAAAATAAACACAGGAAAAATGAAGCAGTATTTTTGTTCGTATCTACTACCAATTTGTACAAGATGTGGATAAAGCTTTGTTGCAGCTATTTCAGAGCAGCATTGAGTAATTCCTCCAACATCTCTTGGGAAAAAAATTGGATCAGTGTAGACATTCCAGGAAATTCCAAACTTATCTTACTGACACCTTTCTCTTTCAGAGTAGAAGGCAGTGCCAGAGACTTGGCTGTACAGTACTTGACTTGATAATAAGGAAATTTAGTTAAAGAAGTAGAGATAGAAGGAATATTGGGGGGAAAGTACCCCAAACGTACGAGGTTGAAAGGCTGGATTTTAAGGAATACTAAAGTTAAAGATAGTCAAAGAATAATCTTGAACTTCAAAAAAGTAATTTTAATAAATTTAGAGCAAAGGTAAGTTTTTAAAAAGTGCTAATTGCAAAAGATTCTTCTAGAAAAGTTCCATAAAAGGATGTTCAGGGTACTCGGAGAACAATTCCAAAAAGGAAAAAAAAATTGAGAACAGCAGAAGAAATTAGCAAAGGTACACAAAGTGTTTAAGGAAAATCAGAAAACAAATACACAAATGACTAAGTCACAACAGAAGAATATTACTGGGAGCTTGGACCATATTGCTGGTGTCAGGAGAATTAAAACCTAGGATGAGCTGAGATTGGCAAAAAGGGGTTGGAGATTCAATATGTTCAAAATATTCAATATGTTCAAAAAGGGGGGAGGGGGAGATAAAAAGAAACAGTGCATTTAATTGCTGACCAGAAATTGTCATAAGTAGAAGTAAATGGAGGATTGATGCTTGAGTTTGATAGATACATGAATTGAATGGATGCACAGATACATAGAATCAGTTTAAGTCTGCAGAATTAGATGAATTGCATTCTAGGTAGTCAGGGAAGTAGCTGATCAGCTGTGCAATCCTTTTTACATTACCTTTGATAAATCCTGGAGAATTGATGAACTGTTAGACAACTGGAGAAGGATAAATATGGCCTTTATTCTTAAAAAAGAGAAAGAAAAGGATCCAGGAAACAACAGCCCAGTCACTCCCCAAATCATTCCTAATTTGTGAGATGATTCTGGTGCAGATAATAAAAAAATAAATTGGAAAACACCTTAAGAACAGTGTGGTAATTACCAGAAACCAGCATGGATTTGTCAAGAGCAGATCTTCCCAGACTAATCTTATCTCATTTTTGATAGGGTAGCTTCCTTAGAGGATTGTGGAAATGGTATAGACATAATGTCTCTAGATTTCAGTAAAGCATTTGACAACATAACTCATGAAATGCTGGTTAGCAAGCTTTTCCAGCATGGCCTGGATGATCTGACAAGTAAATGGGCTCATAGCTGGATTGAAAATTAAAGAATGTTCACCAGCTTTTGGATTTCATATTGGCGCAAGATACTGAATAAAACCCACAAAGGTAGCAATATTTAAATTCCTGAAAGGATTTCACATAGAAAGCGATCAACATCTGTTTCCTCTCATTTCAGAGTGCAGGACATAGAATAATATGTTTACATTGCCAAAAATATCTATTCAGCAGAAAGTTTACCCTCCCCCCCAAAAAATCCTTGGTTTTAAACCTAAGAGCAAATCATGGAACCAGTTATCCAAGTTTATGGTGGGCTTCCCTTCAATGGTTGTGTTCAAGTGGAACTAGAAATTTGTCAGTGATACATTTCAGTTTGGTACTGATTTTAAGAAGGCACCTTAAAAAGCTGCTATGAAAGCCAGGGCTATACAGGGCTTAATGTATTGGTCTAGTGAGGGAGACTCAGACTTAAATCCCATCCAAGACATGGAAATTCATTGCATAACTTTGGGTCAATCTCTCTTCCTCAGTGTAATCTATTCCATAGGTTTATTATAGAGAGAAAACATTCAGGGAGGAGATCTGCTATCATGAGTCCTTAAAAGAAAGAAAAGTTATATATCAAGCAAATAACAAGCTTGTATGCCTGATTCAGGCTTCTATTTCTTTCATTTCAAGTAGTCACCCTATCAGAAAACAAATAACATCTAAAATCAAATTAATTGCATCACACTCATATCAGAAGCACCAAAGCACTTCTGATGGTAGGTGTCATCACCATTGCCTTGGGGACCTCCAGTTGGGGGGCTCATTTCATGTCTCTGTCAGGAGCTGTCTGTAACATTGTCACCCGACTGATCGCCAGGGTTGATCCAAGTGCTCTGGCTGGCTAGACAGGTGTCCCCTCCCTCCCTCATTGCTCCATGTGCATTCCTCCTGAAACTGCGTGCTCAGCAGAAGAGGACAACCATCCCAGATAGGAGTGTATCGATCTTTGGTCAATGGTATATGATAGCTACACTCCGCTGCTAGAACCTCCAAACAAGAACAAATTAATAAGCTATATAAAATTGTAATTCTAAATACACTTACCTGGGAATAAATCCTACTGAAAATTGTGGAATTTTATTTTGATTTTTCACCTTATTTTTCTACTATAAAAAATTCAGAAAAAACAACAATAATTAAAAGTATGATTAAAATACAAAATCCATTTTAAAACAAGGTTTAAGCATGCATGTGTGAGTATTAAAAAAACATCTGAGTAAGTATGTATTACATTTCACAATGCATTGTCCTTCTAATAGTTGCGTGCATAGTCCTCAACTTATGACCACAATTGGAACCAGAACTTCTGTCATTAAGCAATGCGATTGTTAAGTGAGTCACATCCAACTTTATGATCATTTTTGCTGTGATGGTTAAGGAAATGCTTAATGTCATTAAACAAATCCATTCACTTTGCTTCGTGGAAGCCCCTGGAAAGGTCAGAAATGGGACCCTAGGACGCTACAACCATCATAAATATGTACCAGTTGCCAAGCACCCAAATTTTGATCACATGACCCTAGGGATGCTACAGTGGTCATAAGTGATCGGACCGGTCATAAGTCCCTTTTTTCAACACCATCATAATTTCAAATGATTTTAAATCAAGGACTACTTGTAGTGCCACATAACTATTCAGGAACCAGTTTTTCCAATATTATTTTCAAAATTAAACTTTACCAAGCTTCAATATGACCTCATGAATACATCCAAACTTGACAGTGGTTTACCAATGTCTTGTTTTGGAATTTTTCTTGTCTAGACTGCAGTCATCCAAATGCTAATCCAGTTTAAATTTTTGAGCTGAGCCAATTTCAGCTATATGCTGCCAAATAGCTATGCCTTTCCAAATCTTTAGAAAATGGAAAGAGTTAGCTTTCTACCTTGTGACTGATTAAATTCAAAAACGTTGGAGAGCAGTCCAAGCTAAAATCACTGAAGAACAAATTAATCATAGGTATTCTGAGTAAACTCTATAAGGCAAAAATGATAATACAGCTTTTGTATTAGACACATGTAAGACACATGGTTTGTACCACAATGTAGTGCACATTTCATCATTCCACTCTTCCCTGTATATGGATGCACATATATTCCTGATCTGTGAACAAGAAAAACAAGCATTGCAAGCAGTACAGAAAGCCATCTTCTTATGTATTAATGTCTGTAAGGCAATGCTCATATTGCCTTACTGCACTGGATAGTGTTACTGTTAATAATACATCCTGACATGTTTTTAATTCTTCTGCATGAACAACTGTAGACATCTAGATAAGTATCCAGAGTCTTTCTTTAGGAGGAATATGTTACAGAAAATCAATGAATAAATCACCTTTATCAAGCCACAGAAATTTTATAAACTATCCTTGAAGCATAGATTTTAATGATCTAGAAATTAATCTCTCTCTATGTGTGTGTGTGTGTGTTTACTTTATAGTTAACACAAATTATATATATATGCTTTAAAAATAAGCTTTCAAATCAATATTTTGAGTAATGTAATGTGACCATTATATATTCAGTTACCCTGCCACAGTAGAACTTTAAAAAATGGTTCTAAAACTTTTGTTTGCTTTGTAGCATCTGTTTTGTGGGAAGGAAGAACTGGCAATAATGGTAACAATTAGCGGTAGCACATCCAGTTTGTGGAATTTAATCCAAAGGCATTAGATTCCCTCTAAACAGCACTGATTAGCTATCATAATACCTTTCTTGCTGCAGAACAGATAAGTTGCTCTCATTTACATATCCACTACACCTGGGAAGGTTATAAGGTGAGTTATGACCTGAGATCTTTAATTCCATTATAGTACCATGCAAAGCAAATTGGGGATAATTCTCATTTGGAGGTATATCACTAGAAAATTGTTTTGTTCCTTTTTCATCTCCTAGCAGAGACTACCCTCTGTTGGAATGAAAAGGAAAATCAAGTCTACTATATTATTCAATTTATCTAAGATTAAAAATGTGACAGCTACTATAGCTACTAAACATTTTACAATTTTAACCTTTCTTTGTTGTTTCCATTTATTTCAGCCACGTAGCAATAAATGCCACCTCAGATTTACCCCTTCCTTCCTTCTAAGCTAAGAAATGTTCCTACTTTTTGTTAACTTTTTTTCAGAGCAATAATCTTTTTATTTGCAAACAATGATGCTGAAAAAAATACTTCCCTTGGTTACTCCAGGATCCTTCTGTAAATAAATACATTTCAGTTAAGCCTTAGTAAAGGCATAAGAGGGTTAGTGTTATTAATGTATAATCTGTATCTTTGACTGTATCAATTTTTATGTATATAATCTCCATATAATCTTTATGTATAAAATCTCTTTTATAAAGTTGTAATCCCACACATTTTTGGTTCTTAATGGTGGGAAGCTGTCCTGGACAAAGACATTAATATAACAAACAAAATAACTGCATACATTAAGAGCAGTGCTTCCTGTATTTTCATTTCCTTTCCAATTTTAACATGTAAATTTAAATAGAGTCTCAGAAGAGTATTTGTATTTTGTTTTGATTATTAAAATGGAAGACTTTTTTAGAAGTGTTTTCTATTCTTTCCTTCTAGTTACCGCTGTTTGGCACTTTTGTACTGGAGAATGTTTCGGCTCAAAAGAGACCATGCTGTAAAATATTCAAAAGCTCTCATTGAGTATTTCAAGGTATGTGTCTGCTCTGACCAACCCCAGGCCATGAAAGCTCACAGACTGACTTTGTACCAGTCCCTCTCTTTCACTCCAGCCTACCTGTCTTTAGTTGTGTTTGTAGTGGAGGAAATTGAAAACAGGAATGCTATGCTGCCATCTTGAGTCTTGGAGGAAAGGCAAGATGTAAATATAAGAGATAAACAAATTGCTATGTTACGTTTATTGTTACGTTTTCTTTCATTTTTCTGTTCTATAATTTTATTTGGTATTGTAACTAGAAATTGCACTGAGTACTAAATAAGTATTTTTATCCATATCATAATTTGAGATGTACATTCTGCATATGGATTCTAAAGCTTTTGCTCTGTTTCTCTCTATGGTATTCTGCGATAGATGCTTATTTCAATTTTTTTGTATTTTTTTCTGCCTCCAGAATTCATCTAAAGTTACTCAGGCACCATCTACCTGGAGTAGCAGCGTGAAGTAAGTTTACTATTTTCTGCCCTAATGTGCTCCTTGCCTTCCAGATCCAAACATTTCAGATAGATGCACTTTGTTGGGGAAGCTAATACTAAGTAATCATTCAGCCATTAATGCTCACAGTAGTTCCATCTCTGGGCATTTTGAGATAATGTTTCATTGTTGCTGTTAATCTTTGTGTACGGTAACTCCTTGACAATAAAAAAAAGAGGCACTTTGCAGCTTATTTTGCTAAAAAAAAATGTTAAACAAAGGTAACTTGAATGAAATGTGAAGATTAATTTACACATTTCTAAGTAAGAAACCTGAGTCTGCCACAGAAGGCTTCCTCGATCTGGACTGGAGCCCTCCAATTGTGTTGGACTACAACTCCCATCATCCCCAGGCAATCCTTAATTCGACAGGCTGGAAATATAAAGGGCATGATCCAATTTTGAAAATATCTACCATATTCATATTTTATATATGTAATAAATTAAATGTGCAAATTTAATTCACCACTTGTCTAAAAATGCACGCAAGCGAAATAAAATGTTAAAAGACTAATGTCTGCAACCTGAAAGCTGTCTTCTGAATAGAGAGCTGTAGTCTCTATTCATCTGTCCTGCTTTATATCCTGAAACAACATTAACTACATGTTGAAAAGTGCAGGGGAAGAGCCAAATTTATCTCAAAGCAGGACATAGGCTAAAAATGTGTAAAATCCTAAACTGGATGAGTTCTTAAAATAATTTATTTTTTACTGATATTGTATATACTAGTAATAGCAATAGCAATAGCATTTAGACTTATATACCACTTCACAGTGCTTTACAGCCCTCTCTAAGTGATTTACAGAGTCAGCATATTGCCCCTAACAAACTGGGACCTCAGTTTACCCACTTCAGAAGGATGGAAGGCTGAGTCAACCTTGAGCCTGGTGAGATTCGATCTGCCAAATTGCAGGCAGCAGAATCAGCAGAAGTAGCCTGCAGTACTGCATTCTAACCATTGCGCCACCACAGCTCTTCATCGTGGAATGAATTGTTGAATATTGTTGAATCGACTGTTGTTGAATTGACTGTTTCAGGTGTACAGAAACTCCTTCTCCCATATCACCCAGTTTGTCTCCACTGAGCTCAGTTGGGAGCACCGAAGCTCCTTCCCCTTCCTCTATCATCAGCATTCCTCAGCGAATACACCAGATGGCAGCCAATCATGTTAGTATCACTAACAGCATCTTACACAGTTATGACTACTGGGACATGGCTGACAATCTTGCCAAGGAAAATCAAGGTGCGTGATAAGAAACAGTTGGTTGAAACCCTAAAATGTCATTTTGACCAAAATTTAAGTCTAATACTCTAAAATCCCACTTTTGCTGATAAAGCAAGCTTGGGCCCCCACCTAATTCTGATATGGCTTCTTACCTTGGCTGTTCCTCTCAAAGCTTCAGAGCTAACCCCTAATATTGCAACATAAACAAGAAAGGAATCCCTTTGCAGCACAAGTCTTAAAAATTTCCAGGATTACAGCAGAAGCGGGCAGTCCCTGAGTTACATTTTGATTTCAGCACACAAACATTGCCTGGCATCTTCTATATCTCAGATACAGTGAGAGAACTTTTGTGGTCCTTCTTTCGTATGCTTCTAGAAGCCTAAACAAGTCCTAAGGTGCTGCACTGTTCTTGAGAAAGAAAGTCCAGCATTTGCACTGGCCAGCCTCTTAGGTCACATCCTTTCTACACTCTTAATATTGGCTGGAGCTTGGCATGCTGGTGTATAGAAGCAAAACCTAGAAAGGGACATTGATGGGCAAGAAAGAGGGCAGAGAAATGTTCCCCATTGTTGTTTTATAGTTAAGCAAAATTATGACAATAGCTTTGCTATTTCTCAGTAAAAGTGTTCAGTGTGTGCTTGATTAAACCTTTGAATATCAGTTAATCTTTGCTTACAGTACTTTCATAAAATATTATCTGTTTGGGATTTCCAAATCAATGAAATGCCTGTTGCACAGCAAGGATTAATGGGTCTCATTTATTTTATTGTTTTCTTTCCTAGATTTCTTTAATGACTTGGATGCACTGATGGGAGCTATCACACTGCACAGCTCTATGGAGCATCTGGTTCAATATACACAGCAAGGCCTTGACTGGATAAGGTGTAGTGCTCAGTTATCCCCATGATGGTACTCCTCGCCTGGACACTAAACTCACAATACGGATAATTCAGTTATTCTAGACACTGTGCTACAGAAATACTCAACTGCAGCATTGCTTCAAACACAATGTGAATATTTTGTTAACATTGGACAATATTGTTTCAGAAAGCAAAAATAGGTCTGGGTATATTATGCAAATTTGTCTTTTCCAGGCCATTGTTCTTTTAATTATCTCCAAATATCACTTCCTTAGCAAGAAAATTAAGTATAGCTACATTAGAAAAACTCTCACACATACAAGATACACATTCCTCCAATATTTAGAAAGCCAAAGCTTAATTTTATGGATTGATTTATTCAAATGAAATGTAGTACCTGTTGCTAGTAATCTCTTAGAGCAATTTTTCCTCAGTATTTATAGATCTCTATGTCACTTTTATAAAGAGAAACTTAACAAATGATTAAGTACAGCTTCAGTGACAAATTCTGAGTAAAATACATTTTACTGAGTAAAAATAATATAAAATGTAAAATACATATTACATTTTAAAAGGAACTTGGGCCATTGAATTTGCCAGGCAATACTTGGATGCCAGTTTGCTTGCAAACTGGCTCACCTTCTTCCTATTGCATTATTAAGTAGCAGCCTTTAAATTGGGAGCATTAGCAGTTTTGGAGTTCTAGTATTCAAATATGCATTTTTTACACATTTGTTGGACATAAGATATCAGAAAAATGCAACATTGAAATGATAAATCTGTCTTTGAAACAATTATCCTTGTGAGTGAAACAGTATGTAAAGCATCAATCCTCTGAATTAAAATTCTGTGGCACCATTGGATGGTTGCCCATCCCCCCGTCCATCCTTGTGAATTCCTCATGATGGATCCAAAATGCACAGAGAAGGACTGACCTTTTGTGCTCTTAAACAGCAGCGATGTGCAGTATTTGTTCTTCAAATCTTGTTTTTTATAAAGCCAGATTTACACTTTGCAAATAGTTTATTAAGCAAAAACATATTTTTAAAGAGTAGAGAGGGGTGGAGTGATTACATACACCAGAACAAAACTTTGTGAAAGTGTTATTTTTTTATGTGGAACAGCATTTCAAAGCCAGCTGTAGCTGATTCCGCCCAATTTCAAAGCAAAGGAGCATTTCAATATACAGTTTAAAATAATAGCTTACTTGTAATATGTTTCCTTTTTACTGTATCTAGCAATTACATTCAGTTCTTCTATTTTTGCAGAAAACTGCTTTACTATCATGCTCTTCGATGCACCAAGAAAGGCTCCATTAGACTGGTTCATCTGAGGCACCTGATGGATCCACTTGGTTTCCAGAAAGTGCTGGGAGAATTCTCTGAATCTTTGGTGGACAGGTCATTCAAGGCTTTGGTCCTTTCCTGGAATGAGGGTATTTCACTTGCCTTAGATAAGGATTGCACCTGAAAGCCACTTGATACACACTGATCTCGGTGAGCTCCAGTGGTGGGTTGCCCCTGGTTCGCACCGGTTCTATAGAACCGGTAGTAAAACCGGCAGGAGACTCCACCCACTGATCCTGATGTCACCAAAATGCTTCTGCGCTTGCGCAGAAGAGTGCACACGTGCACGGCCCCGTTGCGAACCGGTAGTAAAGGTAAGTAGAACCCACCCCTGGTGAACTCCTTGGTTTTCTGAGGTGCTCTGAAAAACGAAGCATTAAAAGAGACACCTAGAGCCCCACTGGAGAAAGACAAAGAATAGGTCCAATCAAACACTTTTACAAGCCTATATTAGAAGTTAGGTCATGCACTAAGGGTGGCAAAATGTAATTATTGTTCTGCACTTAATGCATCTGCAGAATGTAGTTTAGCAGTCTTTTGCAGAATGATTATACAATTTTCTATTAAGTGAAAGAAAGGCACTCAGCATATTTCTGGGACTGTCCTTTTGTTTTCTACTAAGTAATCAGTAAAATGTTACAAAGTTAGCTCACTCTATGATGTAGCTGTACAATTTTGTCATCTTTCCATAGTTACAACTTCTGTATAGCTGTGCTAGTCCAGTAGAATGGCATTCCTACTAAGGTTTGAATGGCTTAGAACCCTATTGGGTTTCTGTAATCTGTGAAAATTCAGGTTTTCAGAATTCACTGATAGTCTTTCCTGATTGTTTAATCCTGTAGAATTGGTTATTTTCCCTGACATATGATCAGGCAGCATTATGAACTGTTTTGTTATTGCTGTTTTATGTTTCTTTCAACCTTAGCATTATAAAGCCATCTTCGGTGATTGAGGGGATCAAGGGTACATATTTCAGGATTCTCTGCTAAAAGAGGCTCATAGCAGATTTCTATGCTGGGTTCCTAAAAGGCCAAGTTCTGGAATAATTGAGTAAATTAAGTGCTCATTATTGGAAACTATAGAAAGAATTGCCATTAATTTATATAACTAATGTAATATCATATATCTTATAGATAGGTTATGTCAAAAAAGGATAAACTCAAGACTATAATTAGGCAAATAAAATAAGGTTTTAAAATTATAGAAAATGATTGCACATTATTCACCTGTTCTTGATTTACTGTAAGAACAAATAGAAGGGAAGATGTAGATCTGCAAACAGAAAAAATAATTTATAGAGCTACTTCCTCAATAGAATCATTAATAACAAGGATTGAAAAGGACCTTAGAAGTCATCTAGTCCAATGTAGGAGTATATTATTATAGCATCCCAAGCCGATGACGTTCCAGCTTCCAATTAAACATTGCCAGCACATTTAACTGTGATGGTAAAGGAAAAGTGAGGATAATTGATGTAGCCATACCAGGGGATAGTAGATTAGAACACAAAGAACTGAAGAAGATCACAAAAGCAAGATATGAAAATCAAAATTGAAAGATTATGACATAAATTGACTATGATGGTCCAAGTAGTAATCGGCACACTGTGATACCAAAATATCTTGGACGGCACGTAGAAAGTTTTCGCATTGACAGAATTTCCCTCTATCAGTTGCACAAGGCCACACTGCTTGGACCCACACTGATACTATGCTGATAAATTATAACATTCTATATTCTTGGGATGAATTCAATGTGTATAAAGGCTAACACTAGCTAAAGAATTAGCAGTTGTGATATTACATTACTATCAGTGGTGGGATTCAGGTAATTTAACAACTGGTTCTCTGCCCTAATGATTTCTTCCTGCCCTAATGATTTCTTCCAACAACCAGTTCACCAAACTGCTCAGAAAATTAACAACCAGTTCTCCCGAAGTGGTGCAAACTGGCTGAATCCCACCACTGATTACTATGCATATAGTAATCAGATAACATCTGCCTATCCCAGGTACTTGGGAAGAACTTGATAGGTGGATAAAAATGCCAAATTCAGTCTAAGCATATGTTGATTATGCAATCATTTTTATAATAATTCAGTATGTACAAGAAACCAACAATATAATAACTCAGATAAGTAACGTCTAAGTAAAATTGATGAACAATAATTTTCAGAAGGCCTTTTTAAATAGTTTGATCTTTAAAAAAATTCCAGAAGATTGTCACAGAAGAGATTAAGCTAATTTTTGAGGGAGACTGTTCCTTGTGCCATGAGAGAGGAGCAATAGTTTATGGCCTCAGCCTCCACAAGGGTTACCTTAATACCCCATTAATGTATTATGAGTAAAGAATCCTAGGACAGCCTGTTCAGACAAATCAAATTCAACTGGTTTGGTTTATTTAATAGTATGGTCATAGACCAAACACACAAAATTATAAAAAGAGAAAACCCCCACAGATATTCACTGAAAGCCAATTTGTGCCTCAAGTAAGCACATCTGGAAGAACAATTAACTCCAGAAATGTCTGATTGTCATTATGATAGTACAAAACTTAGCTACAATTCCAGAGACTCCCAGTTGGGTTATTTAGTAGGTAATGCACAATTGCCATATGAGAATGGATAGTTTGTAATGAGAAAGGCACTGCCTCCAGGTTATAGACAGAGCAGTTCAGAAGTACGTGCACTACTGTTTCAATTGCAGAGTCTGGGTAGATAAACACATTCTACTGAATGAATACTGTTGAAGCCACCACTAAGGCAGAACATCCAGACTTATCAATGTGAAGGCCCTCGTATGAGCCAAGGCTAGTAAATTATATTTGTAGTCCTCTGAGAACTATCCATTATCTCAACAACTTTGATAAAATTCCTGTTATAACTTTATATTGTTACCCTTTGGATCTTAGTCCATTTTTAGCACACTCTTTCTCTTAATTAGAAACCAGTCGTGGTTCTTTTGGTGCCAGCATGGTTATGGAAAACAGAAGAAGCAACAGAATGTCAGTTTTCTTCTAAGGCTTTGCTCAACTCTGTTCACACCCAAGCAGCTTAAAAGTACATTCCTTCTGTATGGCATTACAGTGGCATGTTTTTATTGTTTACATTGAACAACGTAATAAACTAAAATATGTTGTACAGTAATTTATGCTGTAAACTATATGTGTCTGTATGTACATTGAAAACATTGTCCTCCCAATCCGCAAAGGTGCTCCAGAAAGTAACAGCAATATTTCTTGTATGATGTGGACCACTCTTTTGCTTTATTTTCCAAGTTTCCTTAAAGTTGGGGAGATAATTCTGGGTACTTGAAATATATATATATACACACATACACATGCATATATACATATACACACATACACATGCATATATACATATGTATATGTGTGTATATATGTGTGTGTATGTATGTATGTGTGTATATATGTATGTTTATGTATATATATAGCATTTTAATTATTTTATAAATAATTATTTATACCTAGAGTAGCAATGTCAATATTCATCCAAAGACTACATTGTCAATTATGAAAGAAAACCATGCTAATTCACTGACGTAACACAAAGTCAAAAATGTGTACATTAGAACTGTATTCAAACAAACAAATAGGTTTGTGTTAATCACAGTATATTTTTTATCGTTTAGAAAATTTTGTGAATTCAGTTGTGTTGATTAGTTTATGGCTCGATGTGCTGTATAAACCAGGAAGTGGGTTTATTTAATGACCAGCTTAAGTGTATTTTATGATCATAGCTGATACGTCTACAATTCTCCCAAGCAATATAACAAAGACTGCAATAATATTTGCACCACTATCAGCGAATGCTTCTTTACTGATCTGAATGAAACCAGATGTTTTATCTTAATGGGTCATTTCACATATTACTTGTACTAGTATTTCCTTTGAACTACATTGGTGTGGAAAGGTTCTAGTTTCTTGAAGTTCTGCCTGAGCCAACCATGTATCTGATAGAGCAAATAGTTTATACACAGATATTGGAACTTGGTGTTCTCCCCAAACTGGATGAAAATTATATAATGTTCACATCATTTCAGTATTTTTCTGCTTTCTGTATCAAACTAGCTTCATTGCTGAACTATTATAAACAATGTATTGGATCTTATTTTACAAGAACAATGTGAAAGATATGTTTAAATTCTGTTCCATGGCTAAATTTTCATGTACATTGCAGTGATGAAATTATTGACACATTGTTTTGATGCTAGTAACTTTTGGTCTTTCTGCCATTCATTCAAAATTCATGTAGCACAGTTGCTGGAATGGTGAAAAAAATCCTACTGTAATGTAACAGTATGGGCCTTAAGGATTTGTGTGTGTATGTTTTTTTTAAAAAAAGGAAAAGCACTTTTATATTTAAAAGTTAATATTAATTCATCAATAAGATTACTTTTTTAATGTGAAAATAAATCATTAACTCAATACATGTGACAATATTGTTTCCTCTGGGTTTTTTGTTTTGTTTTGTTTTTTGAAAGCATCCTTTGAAATTCAGCACATAGGCTTGTTTCATGTTCCATGACACACCTGAGCTTTGTTTTCCTGGCCTGCATCTGAGTGAATGAACCTACGAAGGAGCCAAGTCTTTGAGACGAAATGGTGCCTCAATGCTTCAGCCAACAGATTTGGAGGAGTGCTTCAGTCACTTCACACAACATCTTGCAGAATAGTTCAGACAACTCTATCAAAAATGGTTTTGAACTTTATCAGTTCCCTGGGATCTGGACTCTTGGAGATTTTAGTCACAGATTGAAAATTACTGTATGAACCCCCGTTTTGCTTTGAAAAAGAAGCTATAACTTTAAGGTACTAATTTGTCAAGACAACACATCTGCAGAAGTCAAAAAAGTCAAAATAGCACATTAAAAAAGTCCTACATTCAAAGCATTTCACACATACATTACAAAGAGTTGAGGCTTCATTACATTACATTCACATTACAAAGTGAATTCACACATTACAAAGAGTTGAGGCTTCAAACATGCAGTTTTTTTCCTGCTAACTAGATGTTTATTACTCCCCACTCCCTGCCTGGGATGCATCTGTATCCTATCTAACGAAGGAGAGCCACTGCAAGGCTACTCATGTTCCAGAATTACCAGAAATTCTAAGTTGTTTCCTGGCAACCAGTTCCTGAATAAGCATGCAGTGTAACTTTCACTTAATGCTCAATCTGTACAATGTTAAAAGTGACTGGTCAACAATGTTAAAGTCAAGAGAGTGCCAAACAGTGGTCAAGTGTCAAATTTCTTCCCATTCCTTTGCAGATATTACTCCCCAGATATTTCATGAATGCTCTCGAGAAAATGCTTGCTAACCCAAGATCAAATAAAGGGACAGAGTTCAATGCCTGCTGAAGATCCCAGCTTAATTTCCTATCTTCCACATCTCAAGTAGAACAGAGCAAAACTCCATTCTGAAACTTCCGAGGGTGGCTACCAAGGATTTTAGGTGATGCTGAGGTAGATGGGCTGTAGGCTACCATGGCAGTGTCTTATCTTCCTACTCTAGAATATGAGACTCTTTGCTCAAGGATGTGTCAAATTTATGCGAAAGGAAAAAATTGCACATAGAAGAAAGATGGAAAATGTTATTGTTTTTAATAGCCATGTGTCAAATTTTAATTGGCCAGTCTTTTTACTTCCTTCTCCCCATTGGTAGCAGAAGGCATCATTTTAGCAATATAAAATTGCTATAACTCTTTCTAGGCTATATCAGGCTCCATGAATCTTTGACTTGACACAGTATTAAGTATTTTAATATTGAGTTTTGTGTTATTCTGCCTTAATCTTTCATTTTTGTAATAGAGTTTACATAACTGTCTTGAAATATTTAACAGGCTTTACGTTAATGTGCTTTTGTGCAGTATTCGACACAGCAGAATTATTATCTTCACATTAGCAACAGGATCAGCAGAAGTCATGGAATATGTGAGTTATTTAATGCCATACCCATTTCACACCTAATATGCATTGACTTACTTTCTACTTATTCTCAGAACTGGATGGACGTGTAAATGGCTGCATTCTACATTTATACTTGGGCATGATGCCTACCCTGGCCATTATTTATTTATAAATTATGTTAATGGTTAAGGTTAGGGTGTGAGGTATAAACTATGTAATTGTTAGCTTAGTCCACAGAGAACAGGGTCTGGAAGGAGCAGGGGTTGAAAGCAAGGACAGACGACTTTTATAAGACCTACTATGCGGAATGTTGCAGGGGTTGGTGCTGTCTTCTCTATTTAACCATCTACATTAGATCACTAGTGAATTCGTCCATCACCATGTAGTATCATCAGTATGCTAATGATATCCAATTGTATATCTCTAGTCTTGGTAAATTAAGCAATGCTGTAAATGTCTTATCTGGTGCTGTGAGGGCCTGGATGAGAACAACAGGCTTCAACTGAATCCTGACAAGATCAGGTAATTTTGGATGTTGGGGTGCTCCAGTTCTAGGATTATACCTTCTTTGGTGTTAGATGGGGTTGCACTATCCCAAACAGACCTTGCGTGCAATCTGGAGATTTTCCTGGACTCAAGACTCCTGTTTGAAGAGCAGGTAGCAGTCCTGGCTAGGAAGCCTTTGCATATGTTTATATTGTGTGCCAGTTGTGCCCATTTCTAGACTGAGGGACTCTTGTCTACTCACTGGCACTCATATCCTGGCTACCTTCTAATTGGACTACTGAAATGCATTTTAGATGAGGCTATGCTTGAAAAAGTATCTGGAAATTTTAGCTGGTGCAAAATGAAACTGCATGAGGTGTTTGCAAGGAGCATTGGTTTACCAGTTTGTTTCTGGTCCAATTCAAGGAGCTGGTGTTGACCTTTGAAGTCTTTCATGGCATAGAACCAGATTATCTGCCTCTCCTTGATTTCATCTTTGCGTCCCATTACGTCTAGCAGAGTGGCATGTTATGGGTACCATTGGCTAGAAAGCTATGTCAGTTCCTAGGCAACAGGTCTTTTCTGCTGTGGCACATGCACTGTAGAATCTTCTCCTCCACCCCAACCCCCCCCCGGGGGGTGGGTGGGATAAAGATGGCCTGTTGTCTTCTGAGTTTCCGAAGGTCCCTTTAGTTTATGCCTACAGGCCTGGGGTCCCTAGGTAATTATTATTCCCTTATTATTAACATCACTTCATCTTCTATTTCTTTGTTCTTGTTCTGTTTTTATAGATTGTCTTAATATTTTTAATTAATGGTGAGATGGTTAATCACATAAATTGGACAAATAAATAAAATATATAAATACAGTGTTAAATATAGTTCATAATTGTATTTTAATCTCCAAATTTACCCACATCTCAATTGAGTCTATGGAGTAGACAGTGCCTAGAAATGACCTGCAAGAAATGTTACTTATAAAGGAATACTGTATAGCAGTATATGGAAGCAGTCTAAGATGCAACAGGCTAGGAGGCTATGTTCCTGCAATGCAGCACTTTCTTATATGAGAGAGAAGAGCAGACTGGCTTTAGCATTATACAGCTGGAATAAGTTGATATTTTCCCAATTATATTGTGGTCCTAGCAGAGTTAATCTGGTTTCAACAAGCTTATGTGTCTTACATTGTCTCCCAGATGCTGTTCCTTAGTTCAAACTTCTCAAAGCTGTGGCTGCTATTGCTGTTGTTAAGCTCATTTTCAAAGAGATCCAAAAAATTTATGAGTTCATAAATCACAGAACGAAGGTATTTTCATGTGAATGGCTCTTAGTGGCATCAGTGCTATAAATCAAAAAGCATGCGGCACAATTTCTGCTTTCCTTTTGCCAACAGATTTTTTTTTTTTAATTATGGGAGGCATGGAAATTAGAAGTAGAATAGCAGCAGAGAAAGAAAAATGACAGAATAATAGGTGAAAGCAATGCTAGCTGGACCACACCCAGTCTTTATGTATTGTACAAATGAAGTATCGCAGATACACAATAAAAGCCCCACCTAACAGCAGCCTAAATCACATTTCTGCTGCAGCATTTTCAGCATCTTCAAAGAGATTAACAAAGATTTGGATAAGTCTTTGTTTCTTATCTAGGATTTAGATTTGCAGAGAATGTTTATACCAATATGAAAGACAGGATTTACTTTGCCTGCTTCCCATTTTAATTAAATAATATATATTTTTAAATGTGTCAAAAGAGATACTGCTGACAGGGACCACTCTACATATGAGTAAGTTTGAAGCTTTGCAACCAAGAGCTTAGAATGCTATAGTGCCGTGATGGCGAACCTATGGCACGCGTGCCACAGGTGGCACGCAGAGCCCTCTCTGCGGACACGCCGGCCGTCGCCCCAGCCCAGCTCCACCGCACATGTGTGTGCACCAGTGGTGAAATGTAAAATTTGTTACTACTGGTTCCGTGGGCATGGCTTGGTGGGGGATAATGTGACTGGGTGGGCGTGGCCAACTTTTTTTTTCCTTTTAAAAACATTTTATCTACAACCTCTTCGGCCGAAGAGGTTTTTTTTAAAAATGCTTTTAAAAACCTCTGACGATCAGGCAACTCAGCTGGGATCGTCAGAGGCTTTTAAAAGCATTTTTTCTACCACCTCTTTGGCCAAAGAGGTGGTAGAAAAAATGCTTTTAAAAACCTCTGACGATCCCAGCTGAGCCGCACGATCATCAGAGGCTTTTTTTTAACTTTTAAAAGCATATTTTCGGCCGAAGAGGTTGTAGAAAAAATGCTTTTAAAATTAAAAAAAAAAGGCTCTGATGATTGCGTGGCTCAGCTGGGCATGGGGGGTGCAGGGATGTTTGCTACCGGTTCTCTGAACTACCCGCCACCATCGCTACCGAATCATGTGATCCGGTCCAAACCGGAAGCATTGCACCCCTGGCGTGCACCTCCCGCCGGCCAGCTGGTCTTCGGGTCTTTGCCAAGCATGCACGGGGTGCATGTGGCTGATGCACACGCAAATGGCACATGCAGGGGGGCGCTCGCATTACATTTTGGGGGTTCACACATGTGCCCTGTTTTGGGCCTGGAAGGCCTCCTGCACCAACCTGGAAGCCAAAAATAGGTGAGGTGGGGTGGGGCACATGCGCGGGGGACGGGGTGCATGTGGGCGCAGGATGCATGCGTAGGGGGCGCTCACATTGAATTTTGGGGGGTTTGGCATGCGCACATGCATTCGTGTGCATACGCTTTAGGCACTCGGCACCAAAAAGGTTAGCCATCACGGCTATAGTAGTTCTCTTAAAATAGCCAAACCTGTTCAAATCTGGAGGAATACCTGGATGTTATAGGTCCTATAACTGTCACATCTCTATATAGGAGCATCTCATGTCAAGGAAGTTTCAAAACTCTTTCTTGGAATCAGTCCAGTCTGTGACCCTATGCACCTTCACCTTGATGCAAATCAGATGAGGCCTCCAGAGTTGTTGCCAGAGGATAATATTTAAAGACACAAATGTTTTCTTTGTGCAGC